GTTTTGCTTTTTATTATTTCCTCTTTTTGGTTTATTCTTTATTTTAAAAGAATGTATTGGAATTACTATAGTCTATAGATCTATGGAAGATTGATCTGAAGTTAAACAAAGTGATTTTTGAGATTTGGAAATCCTAGTTATCATGTTTCATTTTAAGAGTTTGGTAATAGCTATTTTGACAATTTTAGTTGCGTTTATGATAAGATTTAAGTGCTTCAATTGCAAAGAATGGTTGATTGGGGCTATAAATAAAACACATGCATATACAAAGTAGTATATATGCAAATGGAAAAATTCAGGTAAAACCGTTATTTTCAATATGAGAACGTGCCAATAGACTCACCGAATTTTTGATGAATGGAATCACTATTTTGAATTTGTACTATAAATGCATCTGATGGTTAGAAGTCCTTCAGAGCATTAAATTCCGAGAGTGAATAATTTTCTTTCAATATTTTCCATTACGTAGTATATAAGCAAATGGAAAAATTCAGGTAAAACCGTTATTTTTAATACGAGTACAGATAGGCTCGCCAAATTTGATGAGTCGAATCACTATTTTGAGTTTGTACGACAGGGCATCTGATGATTAGAGACTTTCGGAGCATTGAATTCAGTGAGAGAATCATTTTTCTTGCAATATATTATAGTTTTTAATTTTTCTATGGACACATTAGGAAAAGATTTTACATGTTATTAATTTCAAATATCTAAGATGAGCATTTATTAATTTTATATAAAATAGTTAGACAAAAATAAGGGTTAGATCTTCAAGAATCAATTTTTGTTGTCCCGAATTCTTTTTTGTAGTTTTACTCACTAAAGCACACACATATAGAATTGCTAGACTGGACATCGAGCTATTTATTTTTTGCACATAAAATCATAGTTCAAGTTTAGTATTTAACTTTGTAATGCAAATTTTTTGTGAGATAGTTTACATTTGAAGTTGAAATTCCTTAAACCTCAAGATAATCATATAACATCTAAGCATTGGCTAATTCCACTTCTTCTTCTTTTTTCTTTTCTTTTTTTTTTTTTTTTTTTGGTTTAGGGTTTGTATATTAGAGAAAAGAAGAATTTACTACCCTGAAAACATAAGGGCAAAACATCCCCGGAATTAAACAACAAAAATAGGATCAAATATAATATGTTCCCTTAAGGGGGCAAACATCTAGAAATTATTACATAATTTCGAACTAATCATTAGCAGGTACATAAGCAAAAAATCTTAACACATGTGATACATTTCCTTACATGTCAGCTAGCTAGTAATTGGTTGGGATCAACGGTCTTGGGGCCATATAATAATTTCTCTCATGAAGCTTGCAAAAATAGCCCTACAGCACCCACAGAAAATGCAGCAACCATAAATACTAGGGATTTACTACAGAATTTTCATAGCAAATAAATATATTAATAACAGAACTATTTTGTAACAAATAACTGTAGTTGTGACGGAAACAATTCGTAGCAAATAAGTGTATTAGTTATGAAAATATTTCGTAGTAAATTAATATATTTGTGACGGAAATAATTCGTAGTAAATAAGTGTATTAGTGAATGAATTATTTCATAGTATATTACAGTATTAGCGATGAAAATAATTTGTAGCAAATAAGTGCATTACTTACGATATATTTTCTTCAAAAAGGACCTTTCCCTACGAAATAATTGTATATCTTGCTACGAAATTTTCCGTAGTTAAAACCCTATTTTGTTGTATATGTATAAGTTTATTTTAGAATCTTTTATAGAACGTTAATTGATGCAATTCAAACAAATTAATAATTTCATAAGTATTTTAGCCTTCTCTTTAGTGCTCTATATTCTGGAGTTAGGATAATGTTAAGAATACACGAGATAACTTCAAAATTTAGTGTAAATTAATATCTCAATTAATTAAAGACTCAGGTAAAAGAAAAAAAAATATTAAAGACTCCGCAAAAATGCCATTCATTTCAAGATAGACAAATTAAACATTATTTATTCGAGTTTAATTAATTTGTAGAAATGCCAATATAAGAAGAATAGAGAAAAATAAGAATGAATCTCTAACATAAGAAAGTCATTAGAGACATTCACCATTCATCAATGCACACAAATCATAGGCTAATTCCAATTTTGCATTGCATAAAAATACTACCTTTAATTTGGAGACAAAAATTCAATCTCTAACAGAAGAAAGTCATTCGGGACATAAATTCATTAGTAAATGCAATTACTATGCCTGAATTTTTTTTTTCCTAATTTTGATTAACAGAAAGCAATTTAAACTTCCAACAAAAAGAAAATGAAAAGATGAAACATATAGATTATTAGGATTACTAATGGTTTTTTTTTTTTTTTTTTTTTTTTTTTTTGATTAAATAGAAACTATTAGAGTATCTTTTTGACAAATAACACCCCTTTCCATTATGTTGTGTATGTAAGTCCGTTTTTTCTTTCTTTCTTAATTGGTACTCACACACGCATCTTCGATCATTTAGGCTCGAACCTCCGACCTCCCTTTAAAAAGTAGGGACTTGATAGTTGATACTACTATCACTAGGCCAATGGCCTGTTGGTGTTTATATAAGTCCGTTAAGTTTGAAAAAATGACCTTTCAAAAAAAAAAATTAAAAAAATGAGTATAAAAAGGTTTGAAATCACTGTTAAGATATAAAATTTCGAAAACATTCATATCTCTTTTGATAATGCCCTTATATATATATTACTCTTATATATTTATATAAATATATATACATGGAACTGACGCTGGACATATCAAGTGGTCGTTGTTGTTCCATTACCAGCTGCGGAAGTGATGACGAAGAAAAAAACCAAAAACAAAACAAAGAAGAAAAAGGGACATTTTAGTTATTTCACATTAAATTATTTGTTTATTTATTTTATTATATAGAGGAACACTTTATTCTTTTCAATATTCAGTTCATTGTTTGCTTTAAAATTAAATATTGTGGACTTTTTAGAACACATAGGGGTTATACAATAAGTCGCTCACGAACATACATACATATATATATATATATTGGTAGATATTAGATGGGTTAAGTGCAAAAAAACCCCCTGATATATAGATTTTGTGCCGAACAAGTCCCTACTTTTTGAAAAAGTGCATGTAAGTCCACAAAATTCAAAAAAGGTGCATAACCGGTCTATCTGACAACTTTTTACAAAAAGTAAAACTTAAAACCCCATTTTACCCTTTTGTTTCCCATTTTGCCCCTCACCATTTGTGCAAAAAAGTCCTTCAGGATTGTGCATAAAAGGCCCCAGCACCTAATCCCAATTCGTCTCTCTTTCCATTACAAAGTAAAAGCTGCCTACAAGAAAAAACTCAAGAAACCCAAATTTCATGACATCAGTGAGGAAAATCCACTCTTAAAGGAATTTGATTGTAGAACTATCCAATACTGGCTCCAGGAATTTCAAGACATTTACATCAAATATTGGAATAAAATTGTCAACAGTTTTGCATCCTTTGCAGCAAAATCATCATGTGGGATTAGCCTTAAGCAAAGTGTGTTGTTTAGGAAAATCTCGTTAGGCATTTTGATTGGATATTCTACTAGCATTAATGAAGATGGATGTGAGCTGCTGCTGCATTATGTTGTAACTGGTTCCATACTGTAGTTGACAAAAACTCAGACTGCTGGATTGAACCATCGAAAATGGATTGCTGGAGAGCAGGAAGACTTTGAAAAGTGTAATTATTAGGTAATCGGGATGATATTCACCTTGTACCATGTCAGATATACATACACACACACACACATATATATATAAGTATAAAATGGTGCATCCCTATTGTGTGTGTATTTAACTAAAGTCAGCCGCAAAAAAGAAGAAGTTGGCTGTCGCGGAGAGATGGTCGTCGAAGAGAATGGCCGTCATAGAGGCCCTCATCGCCGCCGATCCAAGGATGGTCGTCGGTATGTTTGGAGCTCACCTGAATTGGGTCACCCAAGGCTCGCCGGAACTGTGCTCTGTACTCATCACCGGACTGATATAAAAGGAAGCTTGTCGGACTGTACACTGAAATTCTTCACTCGTTTTGGGTTTTCAATGGTGTTCACCGGAAATAGAACTGAAACACACCGGAAAGGACCTATTCACAATGATCGCCTGAACTGATTGCTAAGCCATGGTCGCCAAAGCTCTGTAATCTCGTCGGAGTTTATCTCTAAAATTTTCTATGTTCCTACCCGCGACCTAACCAAGAAGATGTGTTAAAATTTTGAGGAACAGTTGGCTGAATATGGTTGCTACAGGTTTAAAAGTTTTCATCCAAACACGATTTGAGCTTAAATCGAACTGATGCTAAAAAGAGCTTGCAGAGAAAATGTTTATACAGAGACAAAAATCCAATTGTCAGTTATTGTTTTCACACACATCAAACCATGATCGGATGATGTTAGGCCTCAATTTTGATTCCTTTCATCTTCCTTATAAAATCCTCACATTTCTTGTTCAGTTCCTCTGCACTTAACAACCCAATTCCTTCTCCATCTTCTTCCATATCATGAAACTCTGCTTCATCTTCATCTTCATCTTATGCAGTCAAGAGCTCATTTTCATCACACTTTGCCGTAACCGAAATTCCATTTTCACTTCCATGATCTTCTTCATCTTCCACAATAACAACTTCATTAACTAATGCTTTTGGTTCAGAAAATTCAGGCACTATTGATTGCCGATCTTCGCCGTCCTTCTTGATGTGTTTGCCATCAACATCACTACCTAGTTGAGGGTTAGTGATTAGGCCAGAGCTGGTGATCAGAAAAACAAGAATTCCATTGCAGAGGAGGAATATGTAGTTCCTGTGAATGGTAAAGGAAACTGTTTGGATGGAAAATGGAGTAACATCATGATTGAAGGAATGGAGAAGAAAATGAAGTGGTGAGTAGTAAGAAAACAGGAAGGAAAATAGTGAGAGTGAGAGTAGAATTGGGATGGCTTTCTTCAAGAACTGGAATTGGCTAAATTGACTCACAGCCATGGAGGCGGAGGCTGAAATGATTTGCCCTAAAATTCATAGATTTGCCCTAATGATATATGGTGTGCGCACACACACACGCACACACACACATATATATATATATTACAAATTTATTTATATTTCAAAATATGAAAGGGCATGTTTGGTTTTAGATTTAATTATATTCAGGTTTAGGTTATTCCAATTTTATACAATTTGAGGTTTATATTATCCTCCTGCCAAACAAACCCTATTTTATACAAATTTGGACAAAAAAATCATTTTACATGGCCTGTATTTATAATCATTAATTTATTCAACTAAGTGAGGGTATTATTATCATTTTACACCATCAGGGACCCAATCGCACCAAATTGATAGTATAGGGGGTTTTTTTATCACACAGGGACTGATATGCACTACATCGATAATAGAGGGGGGTTTTTTGCACTTAACCCATATTAGATAGATATTGAAAAGCTTTGCTTTTGGGGCTTGAAACAAGAACATGTAAACTCCCATCTATACAGGTAAAAAAAATTGCTAACCTGTTTTGACAGTCCCATTAATTTGGGTCATTTTGGTATGTTGCAGCAAATTTTATTTATAATCGCTGTTAGAATTTAGCACCCGGATTCTAGAATCATATTCTCGAACTTCTATTTAATATTCAAACCATTCATTATTTTTAAGTTATTATTGACATCCTCTGATCAAAAACATATCACTAATTCTTTCATTCAGGAGAGACATATTAATGTGAATTTTTTTTCTTAATGTGAATACGAAATAATTTTATTTTGTACCATATAGTTAACTAATGTTTGGACAAATCTTATGTTTAATTTTAATTGTTTTCTGGCAGATTGCATTGGCTCTGAGTTCAACATTAAAGGGGCAATGCAGTGTCCAAACTGTCGAGTAACTGAAAACGGCGAATGGCGATTTGCTACCGGAGGTTCTGATTCAAACATTGATTATACAGATGAGGATGAGCCTTATCCAGTACCTGACATGGTAAACCCTTTGTGTGTTTTTTTAATTTTTCCTTTTAACAAATTTTTTTATTTTTTTACTGGTTTGATTAATTCTGCATTTACAGAATCCGCCTGCAACAGATTGGTACCCCTTCAATGGATTCTCAGAAGCTCCTCCACGTCCTGGGTAACATCATCTCTGCTCTCTCCTATTATTATTATTATGCTATAAATAAAATAAAGAATATGATCAACTCTTTATAAATCTTGTGTTTGTGTGTTAGAATAAAAAATTTGGGTTGAACAATCCATATAATTTTAATAACCTCATTTATCTGACATATTGTTGCTTTGTATGTTGAAGCAGGGGAGGGATCATTGTCCGAACTGCAAGTAAAGTTCTTGTTTTCATTGTTATATATATATATATATATATATATATATATATATATATATATTCTCTAATCGTGCATAATTTACATAAACGCCTTGTTACAAATTATTATGAAAATGATTTTCTTAAATTATTGTACAGATGAGATAAGTGAAGATGTTTTAAATATTTTTGGTGGTGCTTCCAATCCTCTTGTGTATCCTTGGAATGTCCCCCAAGGGTATCAAATGCCGGCCTCTTCCATGAATGTCATTCAACATCACCACCAGAGTTGGACTCGACAAGTAGCAGCCCCATTCCCTTCAATGGGTTACAATATACCTGCTGCCGATCAGCCCTTCAATTCTCCTCCAATTTTCGAGTTTTCAGGGACATTTTCTTACAGGGCACCAAGTCCGGGGTCCTCTGCACCAGCCGCCATACACAATCCTTGGTAAGCTTCAATAAATCTGAAATATGCTAAGGGTGTTTTCGGCTGCATGGAGTTTCGGCTGCATGGAATTGGAGTCCTGGAATTAGAATTGATGGAATTTGAAAAAATTTTGGTTCAATTTTTTTTAGATCTTTTTATAAAATTCCACAAATTTCAATTCCAAGTCTCTGATTTCAAAAAACCAAACACACCCTAATAATAATTTCATACAAAATGAGGTCCATTTTATTTATAGACTTATTTTCTTCATTTAACTTGGGTGTTACATTTTTTATTTATTTTATATTCAATGTCATGGTGAAATTGTCCCTGCATGAACCTGATGGTAATAGGTCTACTCCTGCTGGAGCTTGGGGTTCTGTTGGCACTTCTTCCGGTTTACCTTATCCGGGCAGCAATGGTCCACCTTTAACTAGGCCTCGGATTCCTAGTCAGCAACTCCAATCAAACTCACCGTCGCCAGCGGTACTTGCTTCCATGTTAAGGCGGAGAAGGAATTCCGACAACCAGGGTTTATGAATCCAGCAAGGGCATTCATCAATGAGGCATAGACAATGAAGATTTTCGTGCATCCCTTTCAAAATACTAAGACTGGGCGAGGACAGTTATAATTGTATTCAATAAAAATATTACTCATCAATATTTCGGTTTATAAGCATTTATCTTTTTTATACTATTCCTTAATTAACGTATTATTTTGCAACGATTTTTTTCTTCTTCTTTGCTTATATTTGTCATGTTAATTATTATTATTATTATTATTATTATTATTATATAATCTATTTTTCTCAAGTACAATGCTCCTTGAAATTAAATTCTGTCTCCTTGGAGGTGCGTTTATATCATACTAAATAGATTCATAACAGTTATATATAAATTTAATTACATCATTTATATATATATATATATACATCTATTATTACATTAATTAATTAATACTTTTATGAAAAGAAACTATAGATTAGTAATAATATATATATATATATATATACATCTATTATTACATTAATTAATTAATACTTTTATGAAAAGAAACTATAAATTAGTAATAACACAAAAAATAATTATCCACAAAACGCACGAAGTTAATTACTTTAAATTTTAAATCATTAGATACTATTAATTTCATTATCAAAAATTGTTTACATTAATGATTTTAACAAGCATGGCTAGCAGTTCACAAAGGCAAAAATTTTTGGCCGGCAATTGCAATGGTCTTAGTTAAGGTTTATAGGGATGAAGACTGTTAAAGGGTAAAAAATTTGAAAACTCCCCTGAACTATAAAAATTTTGCATAATACCCCCTAAGTAATTTTTGGAGCATGTCAGACCTCCATGTTTGAGAAAGTAGGCAAATGGCCCCCTCAAGTTGTCTGGAGAACCTCTTGTATGGAATGCATGTGTGGGATGAGGGGTCACTAAATGTATTTTGCATGGAGATATTTTATTATGTTTTTTTAATAATTTATTACTGGGGTTAGATTTGTAACTATGCATGTCTGACGAGCTGAAAGTGATCTCCGATCAACTTTAGGGGAGGGTCATGAGTACTTTTTAAAGTATGGAGGTCTAACATGCTCCAAAAATTACTTCAAGGGGGGGTGTTTTGCAACTTTTTTTATAGTTTAGGGAATATTTCGAACTTTTGCCAAAAAAAAAAAAAAATGTTTTACTTGGGTTGGCAAGACATGATGAGTTGGGCCAAAAATATTATATTTTAGTTTTTTTAACTAAAAAAAAAGACATGATGAGTTGGCAAAATGTAATTGGAGAGTTTGGGTGAGTTGTCAATTTTTTATCTGGCTTTAAATTTTATTTTATTATTATTTTTTTTTTACCGAAAAAAAAAGAGTCAAAACAAATAGTTTTGACTATGGTGGGTAAATAGTCTTATACTGTGTTTGGTGTGCACAAATAGAATAAATGGTGTGCATAAATAGAATAAAATGTAAATAGGAGTGGAATGATAGTAACCATTTTATTTTTTAATTGGACCAACTTAAAATTTAGAATGGAATTCTCTAAAATACCCTATTACTGACAAATAAATTAAATTAACATAATAACATTCTTTTTCAATTTTTTTTAAAAGAAAATTAAGGTGGTGATAGATGACGGTGACGATGGTGGTGGAGGTAGAAAGCAGTAGTAGTGTAGGTGGTGGTGTTGGAAAGTAGCGGCGGCGGTGGTTGAAGTACTGGTGGTGGTGGTGTCAGGTGTCCATGGTGTAGGTGATGATGGTGGAAGGTAGTAACGGTGGCAATGGTGTGGTGGCGGTGGAAGGTGGCAGTAGTGTAGGTGGTTGTGGTGGAAGGCGGTTGAGGTGACGATGGTGGTGGTGTTGGAAGGCATTGGAGGTGGCGGCGATGGCGATAGAGGTGATCATGGTGGAAGACGGTGGCGATAGTAAAGGTCGCTGGTGGTGGCGGTGACGATGGAGGTGGCAGTATTAGTAGAGGTGGCGGTGTGGTTGTGGTGGAAGGCGACAATAATGGTGGCGGAAGTGGTGAAAGGCGGTAGTACTAGTGTAAGTAGAAGGTAGTGGTGGTGGTGGCGACGGTGGTAGTGGTGGCGATAATGGTGACAGTTGTGGTGGCAATGAGGGTGGTGGAAGACAATAAAAGTAACGGTGGTCGATGGTAGTGGTGGAAGTCGGTGGTGGCAAGGGCAATGTGGTGGTTAAAGGTGGCAACAATGGTGGTGATTGTAGTAGCGATGGTGAAAGCCAATGAAGGTGGCGGCGGTGGTTGTGGTGGAAATCAGCTGTGGTGGTGGTAGTGGTGGAAGGCGGTGGTAGTGGTGGAAGACAGTGGTGGTGGTGTCTACGGCGGCGACAGTGGTGGTGGTAGTGGGGGCAGCGACGACAGTGGTGGTGTAGGAAGGCAGTAGTGATGGTGGTGGCGGTGGAAGGCAGTGTGATACCCCCGGATTTCCGGATGCGGGTTGGCCAAGCTCACGCCCGATTACTCGAGAACATCAAACCAATTAACAATTAACAAACACAGAATACAATTAATATAATAAGAACGAATAAAAATTTTGCTGAAAAGAAACTAAAACGAATATCCTTTATTGAAAATCCTCAGAAATAAAAATTTTATAAATAAGAACTAGTTTGATACATCAAACTTCTTCTCCACTTCTAATACAACTCGGGAATCCAACTCGTGGACCCCTACTAAAAATCCAATACTGAAAAATGAACAACTGAAAAGAATTCTAATGCTAAACCATGAGGAATACTCCTACGTCGTCGGTAGAGTGAGTGACCGTCTCTGCTCAGCACGAATAAGTCTAAGTCTGGAACTGATGAGTACCTAAAAATAGTAGTGGGTCAGGCCCACGAACAAGTTATAATCTACTACAATCCAAGCAGAGACTCGATACGCATATACATTCTAACCAACTCAACCATAGCTAATAGTCCGTACGTATGTATATTCATACTACAGGACTCTCATTGGGCTATGAAGAGGGTCTCAACCTGAATAGAAGGCAACATGCGAAAACGCACCCATAGGTGGACATGAGTACCTAAACCTAAACAGGGTATACCTCAACCCTCACAGCCAGCTACGCATCTTATTGCATATATACACCCTAACCGTCGACGCTGAGACTCAAGCTCACATCGCAGTATCATAAAACTATATTTAAACTCCGTTCCTAACCATCCACAATAAATCCGATAAGTCGTTCGGCGTATTCAACCGCACCGACTCATAAATTTAAGGAGGATTTTATTTAATAACCCGTACCCTTATTCCAAAATAGGTTGGACTGAGTATTTTGAATCAGTCGGTCCCTAGTATGCTACCGTCTCATACCGATGCATACAATTCACAAAATCCATATAATTGATAGAACAGGTAAAACTGTTCACCAATTAACATCCATAAGGTAGGAATTAGCGCTTTGAGCTAAACCATACCTAATATGTCATCGTCCCATACCGGTGCATACAATCCTCCATATCCTTGTAAATTATAATAAATAATAAGCCAGTAATTTACAGTCCAAAACCAAATATTCCTACCATTGCAGAAGAGTATTTAGTATTTTAGTAATTTAAATCCAAAACCATGTAAATTACAACCGATACATAACAGTTTAGAAATTTACAATCCATAACCAAAATCCAAATAATTGCAGAAAGAAGATTAAAAATCTCGCAATTAAAATCCAATATTAATCCATGTAATTGCATCAAAGAATTTAATATTCTAACAATTAACATCCAGAACATGCATAGTTCCAATTTAATATAACAATGACTCTATTATGTATTTAAAATAAGTTCTATAATCATATTATAGTCCAATAAATTGCTAAATTAATTTAAGCAATTTAATTCCTTCCATCCAGTAACAGCGTACTAAGTTGTATACTTATCTTCTGTTTTATCTTTTAGTATAGAACCACACCCTATGCCACAAGTCCAATTTATTAATTAAAAGACTTCACAGTGCATTTAAAATAAATTTAGAATTATTTTATAGCACCCTAAACTGTCAGATTAAAACTAATCAGTAAATCTCCTTCCAGCCGTTAACCGCACGCAAAGTTGTCAAATAGCGTACTGTTAATTCTATTAATACAAAGAGGGTATTTTATGCAATATAAGACCTTAATTTCATCCTAAAATAATTATTGAAAACCCCATTAAAGTTTCAAAACTATTCAGAAACCCCAAGTGCCCAAACAGTAGCTGAAAACCTACAGTACGCATTAAAATAGAAAGAGCCTGCTCTAAAAAAAAATAGAGCAAGCTCAAACCAACATTGAGCCAGCTCTAAAAACTTTTGGAACAGGCTCAAAGTGCTTGGAGCCGCCTCCAAAATATTTTGGAGCCGCCTCCAAGAGGGGGATGCCCACTGGTTTGCTTCTTTCTTCGTTTCCGATGATCTTCTTTGACCCCGGCCACTTTCTACCCTTCAGTTGGTTTCTAAAACTGATCCTAAGGGTCTTATTAATACCAAATAGCATCCCAATGGTTTAAAAACAACAATTGGAATTAAATACGACATCAAAACAACAATCGACTTAACATGTCTTTATGCTCAAAACTGAAACGAGTTAAATTTTATATGTCAGTTAATTCGTAGCTAGCAGTAATTTAAAACTTAAACATACTTGTTCCTACCACTATTCCATGATTAACATATTGTAACCATCCATAGTAATCTGCTAAATTAGTTTTTTTAAGCTATTAAACTCTTCATCTCCAATGACAGTATCCGGATTTTCATATTCCGACTTATGTTCTGTATCACCCTGAACAATGGTGTTTTAATACTCAGTAATCAACTCTTAAAAGTTATAATATGAACTTAGATCATCTCAAAACACCTCAATATAGCTCCTGCCAAAACTTAAAAATCCCAAAATCTAAGCACCACAGCCCAAACAGTCGCCCAAAAACTTAGGAAACTGAAGAACTGAAAAGAGGCTGCTCCAAACAAGTTGGAGCCGCCTCCAACCTAGATGGAGCCGGCTCCAAAACCACTTGGAGCTGCCTCCAAGTTACTTTGAGCCGGCTCCAAAACCTTTTGGAGTTGCCTCTAACTTCTCCCCTCATCTCTGCTTCATCTCGTCAACTATATCTTCTCCGGTGACGTCTTGTTTGATCAGTCATTAACTCTAATGATTTCTACTAATTAAAATTAAGTTCCAATGCCCCAGATATGTTAAAACCTTTAATCTTAAATCCATCCTAATTAGGACAGAAAAATTCAAGAACGAAGTAAAACAATCCAATACGAAACATGAAAAATGTATACAGTTGCAAACGATCCTAAACATGCAAACAGTTTAAAATTAATACTTTCCAGTGTTACAAGCTAATTTAATTCCTTGTATATTAATTCACATGCATCATACATCCCGTTTCGTGAATTATTTTATGTGTTGAAATACGTAAAACCATAAAACAAGTAGTATAACTTATGGCTACCTTCAGTGAAATATAACAGAGACATGTAATCCAGTTTAAGTTTGATTCTTATTTAATCTTGGAGTTGAATTAGACATGCAAAAAATACAAGTCTAAGGAATAGAGATAGAATTAGAACTTGCCTTACACCGACATCGTCCTAAACTCTCCGGCCAACCCTCTTTGTTTTTTCCTTCTCTATTGCTTCCCAGACTTCTCCCAAATTACTTCTGCCATTTCTATATCATGAATATAACCCTCAACCCTAGGCAGAACATCACTGGTATATTTATAGACCACCAATTCTAGGTTCCATTAAACCCTAAATGATTTATCCGACCCATAGACCAACCTATATTATACCAACGTCGGCTGCATAATTGAGGGTGATAATAACACTAAAACCCTAACCTAATCTTACCATAGTGGAAAAAGAAATAGAACAATATAATTAACAATTTAAATAATTCAAATAATTCACATAAAGCAATTAAATCCATCTAACTAATTCAAATCGCAAATAATAAATGCAAATCAATAATTAATTAAATTAAATAAACACATCAACACATAGCCACGTAAGCTCCCAAAAATAATTAAAAATAACGTAATGAAAATAATAAAATAAACAGTAAAATTTCAATTATATCCCTTTTTAAATTAGGGGTATTACAGGCAGTGGTGGTGTTAATGGTTTTTGGACTTAGAACACATATTTTTTGGGAATTTGAATTTTTTTTTTTTTTTTTTTTTAAATTTTACTTGGTAGTGAAATGGTCATTCTCACTTTAAAATGCATGCTAAACAAAGGAATGGTTGGAATGGGTATTTCATTCCATTCATGCACACCGAACACAACATTAATGTTGTTATTGATGGCAAGCAACACATGTCTACTTAAATGCAACGAATTAGTAGTTCGGTTTAGTTACAAAACGCCAATAGTTCAAAGATATATATATATATATATATTTTTTTTTCCCACTTTTTACCTAAAAAAATATAAGATGGTTTATAATTTGGTCCATTATTATAGTTAAACAGATGAAAATAATTTAAAAATCATTAATTGAATCTACTTAATCTGTTAATTAGAACACCAATTCTATTACAGTTAATAAAGTGCCAAAAATCTTAAATGGTAATTAAAACTAAAGACTTTTTTTTTAAAAAAAATTTAAATATTTGATAAATAAAATATCAGTAACTTGAAATCTTACCTAAATGTATTTCACCAGCACCACTTACTTTATTTTAAAAGAACGCTAATCATATTATCTACATTTTTAGGGTAAAGTACAAAAAATCCCCCTGAATTATTAGCTTTTTGTAATTAACCCCCCTGAACTAAAAATTGCCCCCCTAAACTATTGATTTGTTGCAATTAAGGACAAATTCATCACAAAAGACTATTTTATCCTTTGTTATTAAAATTTTTATTTCTTATTAAATTATTTTTTACTATATTTTCTCTTATTTAAATATTAATTATACCATTTACCTTAATTTTATAATTAGTATCAATTGATTATAAAAATGGAAAAAAAAAAATTGTAGCTATTATTTTCTAAAATGATTAACTTATTATAATAAAAGTTATTATACTCACTTTTAAAAAATTTAGTATAAAAAAATATCTTCTTTTTCAAACAATATTCATGAAAAATTAATAAATTACGTAAATAAAAAATATTTTCTTTTTAATGCAATATATTCATGAAAATTAAGAAATTATTTAAATTGTTTCAAAAAAATTTATTTAAGATTTTTATTTAAATAATTAATTTAAAAATTAAATGCAAACTTATATAAATTTAATGGAGAATATTTCATCAAATTAGTATGAATTTTTTTCATAATTTATTTTACCAAGAAAAATATATCAAGTGTAATTTAATAAGAAAGGGTATTATGGTCATTTAATGAAAAATATGTAAGACAATGGGGTATTTTGAAACTAAATGTGATAGTTTAAGGCGTTTTATGCACAAAACAAAGTTCAGGGGGGTTATTTGCAAATTTAGACATAGTTGAAGGGGTTTTTTTGCACTTTACCCACATTTTTAGGATAAAATGTTATCCACACCCTTTACCCCCCAAATACTTTACACATCATTTTTTTTTTTAATAGGGATAGTGCGAAATTAGTCAAAAGGAAATTAACTAAAATATATATTTGGCTATTTAAAAATTAAATATTACACATATATAGATATATATATTTGGGAAGGTAGGTCAAATTTTAATTTAGGGTAAAGTGCAAAAAACTCCCCTGAATTATTGGCTTTTTGCAACTAACCCCCCTGAACTAAAGATTGCTCTCCATCACAAAAGACTATTTTACCCTTTGTTATTAAATTTGTCATTTCTTATTAAATCATATTTTTATTATATTTTCTCTTATTTGAATATTAATTATATCATTTACCTTAATTTTATAATTAGTATCAATTGATTATAAAAATGGAAAAAAAAAAAAATTGTAGCTATCATTTTTTAAAATGATTAACTTATTATAATAAAATTTATTATACTCACTTTAAAAAAAAATTAGTATAAAAAAATATCTTCTTTTTCAAACAATATTCATGAAAAATTAATAAATTACGTAAATAAAAAATATCTTCTTTTTAATGCAATATATTCATGAAAATTAAGAAATTATTTAAATTGTTTCAAAATTTTCTATTTAAGATTTTTATTTAAATAATTAATTTAAAATTAAAGACAAACTTATGTAAATTTAATGGAGAATATTTCATCAAATTAGTATGAATTTTTTTCATAATTTATTTTATCAAGAAAAATATGTCAAGTGTAATTCAATAAGAAAGGGTATTATGGTCATTTAATGAAAAATATGTAAGACAAAGGGGCATTTGGAAACTAAATGTGATAGTTTAGGGGGTGGTTTTATGTACAAAACAAAGTTCAGGAGGGTTATTTGCAAATTTAGACATAGTTGAAAGGAGTTTTTTGAACTTTACCCTTTAATTTATTTAAAAATATCAAATATCAAATATCAAATAAACAAGTTAGCAAGTGACACGGACAATAACACGACATTAATTCATATTTGAAAGTCTTTCCTTATATAGAATTCGCAATGGCCCATTGTCCATAAGGCAGTGTCTGCATATATAGCATGTCAGTGTATATATATATATTTTTGTATCTGTATATACTCTCCAGTGTCTATATATATAATATATATATATATATATATAGGGGGAAAAAAAAAGTCAGCATATATTCTCTTCATTTTGTTTGTTCTCAACAATCAATTCTAAGTTAATTTTGGAAGAAAAAAAATCTAGGTTTTTGAGAGAGATTAGTATTGATCTCTTCATTTTCTTTTCTTTTTCTTTTTATTATTTATTTATTTCTCATTGTCATGGCTCAAAGATCATCATCTTCGTCATCTATCGACACTTCATCTGCTGCTCCTCAGTGCTCTATCTGCCTAGAGGTTGTAGTTGATAACCATGGGAGGTCAACAGCAAGGCTTCAATGTGGTCATCTTTTTCATCTTGGTATGTGACATTTCACTTTTTCAAATTTAACTATACATCCATACACATAATTAATACAATATATAAGCATATAGATACGTTTATTTTCACTTGCAGCACATATACTGTTTATAATCTGTACTTGGTTGAAAATCCACTTGAGATTTATATATATGGATTTTCTCTTTTGGCCTAAAACCCTATATTATATCTTATTTTTCTTTGTTAATAATTTCTTATTTTCTCCTTCTGTTTTGCATTTTATTATTTCCTCATTTTTGATTTATTCTTTATTTTACAAGATTAATTAATGTGTTGGGATTACCATAGATCTATGGAAGATCTGAAGTTAACAAAGGTGGTTTTTGAGATTTAGAAATCAAGTTATCTTGTTTCTTTTTAAGAGTTTGGTAGTAGCTATTTTGATGAATTTAGTTGGGTTTGTGATGAAGATTTAAGTGCTTCAATGATAAAGAATGGCTGATTGGGGTAACTATTTTGAAACTTGTATTATAGGGCATCTCATAGTTAGAAGTTATTCGAAGCATTTAATTCGGTGAGAGAAACATTTTCCTTCTCATATATTCCGTTATATCTAGTGTAGATTTCTCAATTTTATTATTATGAAATCTAAACAAGGGTCCGTTAATTTTTCTATGGACGTATTAGGAAAAGATTTTACATGTTATTAATTTCAAATATCTAAGATGAGCATTTATTAATTTTATATGAAAGAGTTTGACAAAAGGGTTAGATCTTCAAGAATCAATTTTTGTAATCTCGAATTCTTTTATTTTTGTAGTTTTAGCACACACATACTAGATTGGACATGAGCTATTTTTTATCACATAAAATCATAGTTCAAGTTTAGTATCTAACTTTGTAATGCAAATTTTTTGAAAGATGATTTCCATTTGAAACTGAAATTTGTAAAAACCTCAAGATGATTTACATTAGAATTTTATTTATAAACAAAAATATACTGATCTTTTATAAATTTAACAGTTCAACCATTTCGATTCTTCGAGCTATAAGTCTAGTAGCATAATGCATTTATGTTTAGTTGTCTTAGGATTCTCCTTCTTCTTCTTAGGTTCCAAGGTTGTCTTAGTCCCTATCAGAATTTTTTACCTCAATGTTTCTTTATAAAGGTGTAATTAACCATTTCTCATTCACTGTCTTCTATTTAATATTGTCACCATTCTTTTTCTTCTTTTTTTGTAAGTTACTATTGACATCCTCTAATCAAATATATATTATTTTGTACTCCCATATGGTTTACTAATGCTTGGACAAATCTTATATATATATATATATAATTTCTGGCAGACTGCATTGGCTCTGAGTTCAACATTAAAGGGGCAATGCAGTGCCCAAACTGTCGGGTAATTGAAAATGGGGAATGGCTATATGCTACCGGAGGTATGGATCAAAGCATTGATTATGCAGATGACGACGATCTTTATCCAGATGACATGGTAAACCCTTTGTGTGTTCTATTATTATTATTAATTTTTTTTTTTCATGTCGAACAAAAAGTCATGACATATTGTAAATTGTTGAGTGAATAGTATATATTAATTAACATCTATGCAATTACAAATATGCTAGCACATAAGCCACAGGTATAGTCTACATGTTATGCAACATTTTCCATGAAAAGGCACCGAATATATAAACACAAGATTTCACTATATATATGGTGCCTTTTCATGGAAAATGTTTATATATATATTGTTTCGACGTTCAAAAAACAAAAAACAAAAAAAAAAAAAGAAGATTGATGAACTTTGTATATAGTCCGGGACTAAATGGTCTTTATCAATTACAATTTGACACGCAAATAAAAAAAGTTGACATATTTATTTACGTGTTGAATTGTGATTGATCGAGACCATGTAATAATTTCTCACAAGATTAACTTTTTCATAAATCTCCCAATCTCTTATTGTGTGTGCAAAAAATAGAGAGATCGATGTCAATGTCCATGTGGTTAAGTGCAACAATTGGTTGTGTATGGCTAAAAATATTTGAAAGCTAGAGGTTTTTATGAGAGAAACTAGTGCTTATATTCATTTATGTATTTGAGTTGCAATGGTGTTTTATTCCGGTATCAAGGCTCTAGTTGATCTTCATAGACGTAATATTTTTCAAGAGTGATGTTACTATAATAGAAGGAAATCACCAAATGATTTCCCACCCTTAGATGCATTTTGTGAGATCCAACTAGACACTTGTCTGATTGAATATTCGTCGGGGGTGTTTTTTTCGGTTATCTTTTTTAGTTTTAAGATAATTTTCCATTCTTTAATTGCAATTTTATACTTCATATAGTACCTAGGCTTCAATTCATCTCTCATATTTTCTTGTCATGCTACTATATCAATAATTTCTTTCATTTGTTTCCTCAAAACATTATTTCTTCCTGGTTTGATTAATTTTGCATTACAGAATTCGCCTGAAACTGAGTGGTGCCCATTCAATGGATACTCAGGAGCTCCTCCAACTTCGGGGTAACATCATTTCTCACCTGCTCCTTCCTTTTATTATTATTCTAAAACAATGGCTGAATTTGGACAGTGATTCACAATAAATCATATCAATTAATCAAAACTTAATTAAATTATTTTTCAATTTCTTCACGTCCATTATCTATCCTAGAATCCAAATAACAGGGATTGTTAGACCACGTCCATTATTTATCCTAGAACTCAAACAATAGGGAGATCATGTCCATTATCCACCGTGCAATCCAAATAAGGAGAAAGTATACAATATCCCCGGAATATTTGCACGTGCTACCACACTCAATGTTGAGACATAAAAACTCTCAATTTACTTTAGCATTGATACAAGAGAAATAGAGATTTTTTAAGAAAAGAGTGTGCATGACTGTACGTTGGGCAAAAATGCTGCATTAGATCACGTCCATTATCCATTCTTGAATCCAAATGGTGTTGCAACAACTTAATTTGAAGTGGTTATTTTGAAGTATATCCAATAACCTCATTTATCTGACATTGTTGTTCTGTATGTTTCAGGGAAGGGATCATTATCAGAACCGCAAGTAAATTTCTTGTTTCCATCATTATATATATATATATATATATTTTTTTTTTTTCCCGCAAATAATTTACATAAATGCCTTGTTACAAATTATTAGGAAAATTATTTTTTAATTATACAGATGCGATAACTGAAGATGTATTGAACATATTTGCTGGTGCTTCCAATCCTCTAGTGTATCCTTGGATTGGCCACCAAATGGCTACAGGGTATCAGATGCCCTCTTCCGTCAACGGAATTCAACTTCACCAGCAGAGTTGGATCCCACAAGCCCCATTCCCTTCAAATATAACAGCTGCCAATCAGCCCTTGAATCCTCCTCCAATTTTAGAGCTTTCAGGGACATTTTCTTACACGGCACCAAGTCCGGCGTCCTCTGCACAACCCGTCATACACAATCACCGGTAAGCTTCAATAAATCTGAAATATGCTAAGTTAGTTGCCCCTATATATAATTTCATACAATGTGAGGTCCATATAATTTAAAGACTTATTTTCTTCATTCAACTTGAGAGTTGTGTTACATTTTTTCCTATTCAATATATGTCATTATGTTGTCCTTGAATGAACCTGGTGGTAATAGGTCTGCTCCTGCTGGAGCTTGGGGTTCTACCGACACTTCTTCCGGTTTACCTTATAACGTTCCACCTCAAAATAGGTTTGGGATTCCTAGTGATGTACTCCAATCAAACTTTCCGTCGCCACCGGTACTTGCTTCCATGTTGAGGCGCAGGAGGGGCTCCAACAATCCAAGGTTCATCAATCCGACAAGGCCTTTACCGGCATCACCTGTGCACGCAAGTGGTTCCCCTATGTTTCCTTCGTCGGAGCCTTATACTAATAATGCACCGAATGAAGTGCTACTGCCTCGAGGATCGAGTGCCGGGCCTGATCATGGTATGCAGCAGCAGGGGCATACACTTGAGAGCATGCCACCAGACAATCAAACAGATGGTTCTGGTATTAAAATGTATCAATTTATTTGAATCACTCAAGAAGTATAAATGACTGTGAAACTGTTAATTAGGCTTTGCTGGGCTTTTTGATGGTCCTTGAAAACTATAGAGAGATGGTTTGATTATAAATAGTGTATGGTTTGGTACTTTGATGATTACTTCAATTGTGCTTCACCATTTATTTAATTTGGTGCAGTGTTGCAGGTGATAAAAGGGGTAATGTAGCCTAGCATACATTAATTGTTAGTGGCAATTTAAGGCATGCCACTAACAAAATAATGTTTGGAGGGTTCAGTGTAGGAATGGTAACGGGGCGGATTTGAGACTGTTTGGCTAAATCTTACTTTGCCTTGTTAGAAATCTATCATACCAATTCTGCTCCTACATCAGAACAGATTAGTAGAACAGATTAGTAATTGTTACTTTACTTCAATAGACAAAATACCGACTCATACCAACATTTATTTTGGTACAATTTTGCCGGTGGATAAGAGTAATGTAGCCAAGCATACATTATTTGTTAGTGGCATTATAAGGTGTGCCACTAACAAAATAATGGTTGGAGGGTTCAGTGTGGTGTTGCTTTGACTTCATCTGTCCACTGCTATGCTATACAACACCGTACATTGCACAAGATGTTTGAATCCACCATTTTACATCTGCACACATTTTATTTTTTTATCATTTCCATCCCTTCCCCAATTTTTCAAGTTTGGGTTGAATTCGGGCTCTTTGGTTTTGGGCTATCAACTTGGGCTAAATTTATTTCAAAATTCAATCTTATTAGAGGCTATGTAATTTTTCTGATGTTAAAATGGGTCCATTATCCTTGTAGTAAATTTTTATTTCTCTTTTTTATTTTTTGGGTTAAAATTGAATTATAAGAATAATCAACATTTACAATATAAATTCTGAATGCTATTTCCAAAAAAAATTTATACGTTAACCAAATTAAATTAAATTAATTATTACTCAGAAATTAGCCAAAGTTCTCAAAGCACCCAATCATTATATTATTTCAAGTGGAGCCGAATACATCAAACACTCCAGTTTTATAATTCAAATCCGGTTTCATTGGGTTTAGTAACTTGTGATGTACCCTGGTTGCCCGATACAATAACTAATTGCATTTTGAAATTTCAACCTAAATTCAAAAAATTTCGAACTAGGATTTGATTTGGGTTGAATCCGTCCGATTGCAGCCCTAATTTGTGGTACATATACGTAACATTCAAAATATAGGTGTAGTTTTGAACTAGGATTTGATTTGGGTTGAATCCGTCCGATTGCAGCCCTAATTTGTGGTACATATACGTAACATTCAAAATATAGGTGTAGAGCGTAGACCTCTGTCCAAAATTTATGACACGTGGCAGTAAGGTTTGCTGCATTATTTGAGAATATCCATGTCAGGAGGAGCTGGGGAGGGTTTGCGAGTGAAAGATTCTCCCGCATGTCAGCTTGTGAGCTGTATATAGACTCAAACCATCTTGGACTCTGCAAATATTAATTGGACACAGTACCAATTTTTTTAAAATTAAATTAAAATTTAAAATTCATATGATAAATAAAAAGATATCAGAATTAAGAGAACAGTACTACTAGCCACGTGCATGCACAATAAGATCGTGAGAAGCCACACAAACAAAACTCAACAAACGACAAGACGAAGCGACACAGAAATTCCCAGAGAGCGAGACGGCCACCGACGGTTCTTAAGGTGGAAGACCACCAGATCTGAAGTTCCACATTCACCGCGTTATAAATGTAAAAAGATTAAAATACCCCCAACAACACCATTTAAATAATTAAAACTTTAAAAAGGATTATTATTATGGAAGGGAACGAAATATATCACCATCCACTATTCTCAATGACGACAATACCCTTAAAATATCCAACTTTCTTTTCCACTACTTCCTGTCTCAAAAGAAATATTCTTTTTAAACAGTAGCAACTTGCATGTCTGTGCTAATAAAAAATATGATATATAATTACGCATATGATCTAAAATTATATAATAATTTTTTAAAATTAAAAAGTGATCTGACCTTAAGATAAAATACAGTGGGATCATAGGATAAATAAAATCACATTTTTGTGAAATGATGGATTAAATTATTAAAAAACCAAAGTGTCACTATTTACTTTGTTAGAAACACAAAGAGACAACATTAGCCTCCAACATATCTGCAACTGAAGTTAAAACAAAATGCCCTAAATGAGCAGGGGCATTTGTGTAAATTACAATCACCATCATGTTAAATCATGGACTCTCTACCTACGTACCACTCTATACCCACCAGACATACGTAAACTAATGAGAATGAAAGAAAGAAAGAAGACAGAACGGTCAACAGCACACCCATTATTCGCCGGAATCGTCATCGCCACCGAAGATGGAGAACCGGTTGTAGAGAAGGAAAAGTACGAGGACGAGGAGTAGAGCCACGCCGACGGGTGACCCGCTGACCCGGTGGATGCTATCGGGTTCGCCGGTTGAGAAGATGCCGGAGACAACGGATCCGCTGTCGGAGGAGAGGAACTGGATGACGAGGAGAAGGACGATGGGGAGGAGGAGGAGCCCCACCGGGCTTAGGAGCTCGGCGATGAATTCGGTTACGGCTTCGCCCTGGTCACCGAGGAGTAATGGGACAGCCACCACAGCCACCGCTGCTGCCGCCAGTAGGATGCCGTAGGGAGCGGCGCCTCGGCGTTCTTCGTACATTTTTGGTCTAGTGAATGTGTGCGATTTGTGGTGTTGGGGTTGCGCTCTGCTTCTCTTTCTTTTCTTTGCTTTTTTCTCTTTTATCTTTCTGTTTGTTTAGTGGAGTAAATGATAGATGGGTTGATGTGTCTTTAAAAAGGTCTTGTGGGACGCGCTTTGTTTGAATAATGTGTACTACTGTAGTTTTTTTTTTTTTTTTTTCCAAACTCTTTATTTTCTTCCCAAATTTACATGTACATATGTGTGTGTATATATATATTTACTTTTTTTAATATTTAGCCGACATTTATTCTTATAATTGTAGATGTCTCGATAGTCTAATAATTAATAGTCCAGTGGTTAATGCCTTCGATAAATTTTGGGCTTATCTAACTTTTTATATTCTTAAAATTGATTTTAACTTCTCGACTTCAACGTTAGTAATATCATGTTTGGAAGCACTAATTCAATTGAACTTGAATTAAATTATCTCTATTTCAATTTCAAATTATGTGCTGCCAAACACAACATAAAAATTATACATGTTAAAAGTGTTCGGTAATTAATTAATAAACTTACAATTTGATTCTCCATTCAACAACTAAGGATGTGAACTAAATGAAAAAATTATTATTGATGGAATAACAATGAACCTAGAGGTTCAAGTTGTTCAATAATTGGGGAAATATACAATACCCTCTCTCAATGAAAAGTACATCCTTATTGAGTTATTTCTCTCAAAAACTTCCCCTTTTTATTATTAAAGAAAATATAAAATTTTCATTGACTATGTTCATTGGAGTTTTGAAAATTGAAAATTGAAAATTGGAGAAAAAAATTAACAAAATTGAACTAAAATTTTCTCTAATTTCATAAATTTTAATTCCAAAACTACAATTTCACACAGCCGAACACAACCTAAAAGTGATACCGCATGTCAAAAGACCCTCGATTTTTATATATTTTCTCTAACAATTGGAATAAGTTATTTAGTTAGAATAGCAAAACCCTAATTTATTATAAGCCACCAATACTTAGTTGTTCGATAATGAATAGAGTAGGCAAAATTTACGTTATTCAAAGGATAACAATATATAGGCAACAAACAAGCAACAAGAACTAACATTTATCTTTTTATTTTAACAATTTCATATTATACGGAGCATATTATATTTATTATAAAGTACATATACATGGATGGATTAATTACACTTGCTCGAAATTTAAGGGTAGCTAAAGGGTTAGTGTCACTTAATTTGGTGTTTGAACCATCAAGGAAGTCTCCAGAAGGTAGACATGAAAGTTCTCTTGAGCCGCGTATGCGTATCCGAGGATTTTCACGACTCATGAAGTCAATTCTTACGGGAGAAGTGTTTGCCCATGTGAATCTCGAGTACGAAAATGCATCTTCCTAGATTGAGCTAGCTGAGTTTATTTGAACTTTTTTCTTCATATTTTTCAAATTATATATTTGATTTTTCAATCACATTAATAATTTATATCAAAATGGAAAAATCTATTAAAATTTTATCTCGTGTTAATTTTTATCACCAAGGCCTTATGGTCTAATATTAATAGTTTCTCAACTTCGTAAAGTAAACGATGAGGTATGATCTCTGCAATCACATGATAACACGTAAATTCATATTGTAATAACAAAAGATGCTAAAGCTTCACTATTATTCAGTGCTCCAAACATTTTCTCTTCTTAGTTTGTTTATTTGTTTGTAAAATATTTTTTAAAAAATATTTTTTATTTTTTTGTATTTAATTGTCATAAATTATTTATAAAAAAATATTAAACCTAATAAAAATAATTTATTCATTAATTTTTTACAAGTTGAACTCAATCTAGAACATATCTTTGTCAAATATCAAAAAATAAAAAATATATATATATTTTAACTTAAAAAAAAAAGTATTTTGCTTCCTTAAAATGAAATTACAAGTAACCCTACACGGCTATTGTGATTCATATGGTAATATTGTAGATTTGTGAGAAAAAAAAAAAAAAGTTAGGTGGCTTTAGTCAATAAAGGAAATACACCTATTTTTCGTACCAACGTAATGGTCCATGTAAGATGTTATCCAGACACTAGCAAAAGACAGTACGACATAGAAATGACTGTCAAGCATATTTATTTTCAATGTTCCAAATAAAATTGGCTTACTGAGGTGTTACTATGAGTGATTGGGTTTGTTTTAAGATTTCGTTTATTTAGACGTAAAATATTTTTTTTAAAAATATATATAATTTTTTATTTATTTATATTTAGTTGTCGTAAAATATTTATGAAGAAAAAATATATTAAAATTTAATAAAAATAACTTATTCATCAATTTTCTGTCTGATGAATTCGACTTCAATCTCGACGTAAACCTTTATCAAATATCGACAATTTTTTAAAAAAAATATTTTATATCAAAACAAATAGAGCCTCAATGTTCATAAATTGTGTTTGAACTTTGCACCATCTATCCTCTTTTTAACCACTAATTTTTTATTAGCCAATCATTTTTCTTTTGACTTGTAGGTGTCAAGTCACGTGGGAGCCAAAAATATAAAAATAAAATTAAAAAGCCCAAGTTTGGGAGATTTGAGTGCAATTGGGACCCTCTGTCTCCTTTTTATAATTACAAGATTTATTTAGATACACTTTTTAAACTAATCAATCCTGGTAAAAGGGAGAAAATAGTCCTAACAAATTTGATCTTTCGGTTCACTTTTTTCCCCTTCTTTTCTATTATTTTTTATTATTTTTTCTTTCTTTCTTTCTTTCTTTTATTTTAAAATTTTTATACATCTTTTTGCTAACCCTTCTTACTTTTAGGTTACTGACCATATTTTTCTTTTTAAGCAAGAGCTATATTCTTTTGAAATAAAATAAATTAACAAAAATAAGTCATGCCCATAAAAAAGTATTTAACTATGGCCAAAAAAATATTGCATTTGCGCTTTATCTCTTAGCTACTAATGTGTATATGGTTAATTTTGTTATACCGATTTCGTGTATAAAAAAAAAAGAAGAACATATTAATTTCTACTGTTCCTGACTTCCACATAGTTGCAAGATACGAAGTAATAAATTTCACAATTGCTTGCTGGATTAAGTGCTTCCATCAATTAAAAGCAGTTGAAAAAGAGCACTTGATAAACATATATATCGCAGTGCCATGTACGAAACACGACTTTGTGACAAAATTAATTGCATATGTTACGTACCCAATTGAATTTTCTCAATTAAGAGCGTGTTGAAAAATGAAATGAAATGAAATAAAAATTAAATGATGTTTGTTGATCGGTCTACATCTTCAAGGCACAATAAGGGAAAGTGTAGAACTCATCAGATGGCCATGCTCACTCTCATCCCATCAAAATTCCTCACTTTAGGTGATAGCTCAACGCCCACTTGATGTTCTAGTGATGCTTACCTTTTCCGTGCATCTTCATTATTTATGCAACTCTTAACAATTGATGGTGGTCCAAACTTCCAAATAAATACATCACCCCATTTTGGGGGGTGGCACTAAAATTTATTGCAATTCCTTACTTTTTCTGTATCATTTCATTTTGTGTTAAATGAATAATTTTACATCATTTACATAACAACCACGTACGTTATGAATGGTAAAATTACGATTTTTTTTTTTTTTCCTTCCTGTCAAATTTGGGTAAAGATTCGAACACGGACACACTAGCTTGAAGAGTTGAATGCTTTTCACTAAAAATGTCAAATTTGGGGAAAGAGATTTGAACACAAACACACCCGCTTGAAGAGCTGAACACTTTTCACTAAAAAATGTCGGTGTGAAAGTATGACTTAGATAAAGATAATAATGATGTAGAGTTCATATACCCTATCTCAAATAAATGAGATATTATCTTATTGAGTTGAATAGTATTTTACGAGTATAAGAAAGATTAGACGGTAATTCTTGATCTAATTAAACTTAAAATCCATTGGAGAAGCAGACCAGATTTAAAAATCTAAAATATTGTAGGTTGACTTTCTAATAGTGGCGTAGGGATATGCATGGAAGGAAAAAAAAAAAAAAAACCTGTGAGACAATTGGATCCCACCACCACATGCAGTAGGCCACATTGTATATCGTTTTTCCATTAACTTCATTAACACCTCTAAGAATATGAATTACTTTAATATATTGATCCACACCCACCCTGTCACCTGCCAGTTTTGGACCTAGATTGAGAAACAAAGTGAATCAATCACAAGGAATATCACACCCCAAAAATAATAATAATAAAAACAATAATATAACCCATTAATCCGATTATAATGTTAAATATGGTAGGGCAAGATGTAGGGCAAGATGGGCACTTCCATGGACTGTAAGACAAATTCTGGTATAAAATTTGGCAGAAAGCATTGTTTTAAATGGAGGCCTTCTTTACGAGCAAAAGTAGTTCTTTTTCTTGATTAGGTCTGCACAACTCATATGAGTCGAGACTAATCATTGCATATGCACACAATCACCCGGGATATTCAAAATATTAAAAAAATTAATTCACTTCTACACTTTTAACATTGTTTAATTAAATCAGTGCAATGAAGCAGGCCCAATGGAAGATAGTTTCTGTGAAAATTATATTCAAACTTTGGTAATCCAGCCAACAACTATAAGCTGCTACAAATATATATATATATATATATATAATGAGAGTTCAGCATCGTGACTCATGCGCGCTTGGTGAAGCTAAAGTCCAGTGAAGATTACGGTCATATGCAGTTGCATAGTCATTGTCAATACACTCATAGCTGACTTGGTTCTGTTGCCTATTTCTGTATGTAAAACATGGAAACGTCCAGGGGCTTGTCCCCAAATGTACCATATGTCAATGTCAACAACTCATTTCACACACAGTCCTGGGTTTATACATATATAAATACACACACATTTATTGGCTGGCCTGGAGGATAAATTATAAACACAAGCACAAACATGGATTTTACTAATCGAGTTTACATAGATGATATACTATACTATTATATCCTAATATAGAATGGACAGTCAGATGATGAAATCAAAAAATCTGGCTATGCTAATTGCTAACCATAACAATGCATGATCCTTAAAAACCTTTTCAATTTGTTTCTTTGTTATTCATCGTACTTTATCATATTCCAAGAATTAGTCAAATGGTAAGCAATACAACGCGTTGCTAAAGGAATGGTTATTTTCTACAGAAGTTAGTAGATCAAAGAAAAGAATTAGCCAGTAGTCATTCACAAGGAAGCAAACAAATATAAATGCCAGACTGAACAATTAAGCATAATGCATTTGTAAAAATTATTCAAGGACTTGTACAGATCAATCACCCACCGTAATCACACATTGCATAGAAGCACCTACTTTGCCCCGGACATTCCTCAAAACAAGCACCACAGTTCCGAGCATCATTTTGAATATCAACACAGTTTCCATTACAGCAAACAAAACCATAAGCACAAGTCTTACCACATGCCCCGCAGTGGTTCGGGTCACTCATGGTGTCCTTGCAAAACCTTTGATAACAACAAGTGCTACCTCCCCAAGGGTTCTTCTCACGATCCAAGCACACAGTTGGGTCATTGGCACACCACAAAACCCTTTGCCTTCCCCGTAAAGCAGAACGGAAAAAGTTGAAGTGTGTTGGATTGCCAGAATCCTGCACACCCTTTTGGGCTGCAGCAAGCCCATGAGATCCTATTAAGAGAAATAGGATGAAGGGCCAAAATTGACAAGAAGTGGCTCTGATAAAGGAAAAGCAACTAGCATTCTCTGAAATATAGTATGCACAAAGCATGGAAATGATCTGAGAAGACTTGACATGGGCGTTTGTGTGGTTAAGGAATAAGAAGGATTATCTGCAGAGGGAACCTGATTAGAATACTTATAATTTCTATCTAATTATTTATCTCAGCAGGGAACCTTTGTCAAATGTGTAAAATTTAGAACACTTCCATTACGTAGTAGGTCGACCTAATATGTTGCAGATTATTCATGAGCAGATACATGAAACAGACATGAATATGACTTTATCACATAAAATATAAAGGAAACTCTGAATGACTATGTTTCTTCTGTTTTTTTTTCTCTCTACAAGTCAATGAGAATCTTCTAACCACTCATTTTTCTAACAATGGTAGCTTAGAAGTGAGAATATTATAACCATAAAAAGATGACCATATCTCTCAGATGATTGCAAATGGATCGTTAAAAATTTCTAGTGTGTCAACAACCAAGTTTGGCGTCCGGGAATAGGTTTTTAGGCATAACATCTGGAGTACTTTATAGTCAAGTTTTCATGACTCATCTGCTTGAGTTGCTACTAGACTGTCACTTCCATGATTGGAACAAACACATATTAGCATAATCAGATTAAGATAGTTCACCACAATAGATCTCCCAGTTCAAAAAACTACTAAGGGATCCTATCTCTTATATGGAACTGTATACAGAGTAATAAAATTGGTCATTTCATCCTGAATTATTAAACAAATTCCTGCACAGTTATTTTTTCCACAAATGCCCTTCCAAGCCAAATAGATTAGATTATGGAATCAACTATGAATGCGCTCAACTTCAATTTACCAGTCATTTTGCTTTCCTACCTCCTCTTTCTATTTAAATCATTTATTGGGTGGTTATATATGAGTTGTGAACCACAATCCATACAAGCACAAAGAGAGAGAAAAAAAGAAAAAGAAACAAGGAAGTTATTGATCCAAGGAAGAGGGGAGGGGGGGAAGATATGGTACTGTTTTAGTGCATAGCAGCATCAGTTTTAAACCTCATATGTATCCGTTCTTTCTTTTTTCTGTTTTACTACGGACGTCGTTTGATTATAATTTTTTTCTAATGTGGTACCAGATACTCCCTCCAATGAGTGAAAAACAAACACACCAGTCCTATTCACTAAAAAATGCAGTCTCCTGTTGCTCCTTCCTAGCAATACATTAAGTACAAAGAACTACGTGCTTTATCACCATTGCAGTCAAACAAAGGAAATCCTGAGAGATTTTACCCAAGATGCAATATATCAATAATATAACTAAAATTGACAATCAAGCAGAGAGGGTAAGACTCAACTTCCAGTAAATGATACAAATATGAGAAGCAATTAGAAGGCCAAAAGGAAATTTCATAAGAAACCTTATGCATTGATGTCCTGATGGAAGTAGAGATTGACAATATCATGCCATTTTGCTCAAGCCAAAGGCGTTCACTCATTCTGAAAACAACGAAAAGAGATTGAAATTAAAATATTACCAAATTCCCATCAAAATGAGACTGGGCAACTTAATCATTATTTGCGGACTCCACAAGGTTATGGCTAAAACACTAGAGATGATGAACATTTTCTCCATCTTCCCCCTTGGCCTTTCGAGTAGCTGCTCTTATTTGACGCTGCTCCTCTTTATATACTCGATTCCTTCGTTGGAACTGCATAAATCAATATAACAAAGAAAAATTATTCCCCAAACAATGAGAATGAGATATAATAGTTTCCTACAGTAATAAGACAGAATATTAATAAATTACAAATTTAATAAGTTGACTATCCTGAACACCATATGAACTTTATAATTAAAGCAATACATAGTTATAATGAAACAATTATCAGTTACAATGTACTGTTATACAAGGTCTCAAGCAACCACATTGCAAACTCCACAGTCCATATGGAATCACCAATTTGATATAACTCCTTAAGTTTTGGAATTTAGCAACTAAGTTCATCAACACAGGTTAGGGGGCAAGCAGGAATTACTACATAAATGAAAGTCATCTACAATAAGATCAAATTCTTGGATATGGATAATGATTGGACTGAAGGTCAATGAATAGCAAATCCTGAATCCTAATAGGCGTTTGACATTTTGATTACACTCGTTATGTATATCCAGTGTACGCACTCCTAAAATTCGCAAAAGCATTTGATTTAGCTATAGCAAATATTTATTTATTTACAAAAGGAACATTTAAGACTTAAGAGTGTCATGAATAAAACAAAAATTGTTTGTACAGAAGAAGATAATAGGTTAAAGCTTGTAAAGTGAACACAGGTGAATATATCACAAACCATCTGAGTACTAATATAGACTTCAATCAAAGCGTTTAAAAATGAAAAAACAAGAAAAGCCCACCAGAACATAAAGTGGAAAGAATTGAAAGGTAACAAACAAATAACATTCAGAAAGAAAATATTACAAGAAAATCAGTCGAATTGGAACAAAGATATTAATAACTTATGGTTAAAAATGTCCTCAATGAATCAATTTCAGGTGATAATTTTTTACTTCAAAAACGCCATTCCACTTCAAAGGAGGAGACCGAATACCCTTAAATTTTCAGTTCAAGTTGGTTAGGTGTATACCAATAACCTTCCGTCATAAGCATTGTTGGCCCTTCTCTCTTAGATTTTCCTTTTCCTTTTCCTTTTCATCCTTCCATAAATCTCTACATCAATTTTGACACATTTATTAATCTAATTGAAATCTGAATTCTGAAGTGTCGCAATCTAGTCTCAAGACTCAACTGGGTGGCTCAACACATGATTTATATCTTGATCAAACGTTGAAGGTTATCCACTGCATATAACCCACATCCATACACCCCAAAACTTATAGTTCTTCTACATCATCTGATCAAATATTAGAAACAACAATATATCTGCCTCTAATAGGTTAACGATTCTACCATCATAACTACTCTAGGACTATCAATTTCAAAATGTAACACCCAAGAAGGCCTAAATTCCCTAAATTAACATGTCAGATCTATGTATCATTGGCATACAATTAAATCATATATCTGTCTAAATGTGTGCTTTGATATGTGCGTGCGTGCTCGTGTCTATTTTTGTGTGCATAGATACATGTATACATATATAGAGAGAGAGAGAGAGAGAAATGAGGTTTTACCTCTTTGGAATGGTGAAGGCACTCGAGATAGTCTTCGCGGAGAAGACCGCAGTCTTTGGGCTCTCTGCAACGGGACATACACTCACTGAAATCAATCCAGAAGTCATAACACCTGCCTTTGTTCCCTGTTATCCCCCAACCCGACGCCATTTCTCTCTCTCTCTCTCTCTCCAGACACTTTCTGAAGAAGACAGCCGGCTGGTTGGTTGGTCCGAGCATGGACCTTTTTTGAGCCAGCATCAAAAACATTGGTTATGCTTCGAGCACATTGGCCCAACCCAAAAGATTTCGGCCCAAATACATAATCCTCTATCGGACAAGGGCACCGAGAAACGGAGTTCGTGGCCCAGTTTGCAGTCAACCTCTGTTGGCCCAAATGAACATTTACCCCTTTCACTCGAAATTGAGAATTTTAGGGCTTGCTTGGTTTGTATAATTCTCAACTGAGCTGTACAGCTACAAATAGGGCAAGTTGGGCAGATTTGAGATATAATTTGAACCCAACCTATCATAAGTAATGCTAAACCCAAGCCCAACTCTAACCCTATCATTAACCTTAACTATTTAACCCAAGCCCAACCCATCTTCTACTTTTAAATTTGGGCTTGTAACTTGGGCTTAGATTCAGGATAAAAAGTTCGGGTTAATTTGGATTGCTCATATATCTAATCCTTACACCGAAAATTTAATATAATCTTGAATTAATTTTAGATTAAATTACTCTTAAACAAGAAAAAGTTTAAAGACTTTTTGGTAGAATTTTAATAAATTGCAAATAAATTTTTAGAAAATTAATTCTCCTAAATGTTAACATACAATAAGTTAAGATTTAACAAAAGAAGATGAAAAAAAAATAATAATTATAGTTTAAATATTATATATAATGTATTTAAAAGTTAAAATATATATAAAAATACTATTAGAATTCGGGTTTGAGTTGGTTCAGGTTGCTAGCACTTCAACCCAAATCCAATCCTAATTAAATTTGGATTGAATTTTTTCAACCGAAAACCAACCCTAATTATAAAAATAATTGTCCTGAAAAATCAAGCTAGACTCAAATTGAGTTCGAGTTACCTTACTCAAGTTACAACCTCAGCTAAAAATTAAACCAACTAGACCCAATAATCAGTATTCATTGAGGAAGTGGGATAACTAAATACTTACATAGCCCTGTGTGAGCCCCAACAGTTTAATTAAGTTATGAAAAAAATATTCTGAATAGTGATTTCGAGCTAATTAGAATATCTTGTAATCTACAGCCGTCCATCTCTCACAAGCGCGTAATAATTACAAGGAAAATTTTCCGGAGGTGGCCTAAAGTGTATTCAAATTCCAATCATTTTTAGTTAGCTTTAAAATAATAAAAAAATAAAAAAATTAGTTGAATCCTTTTGATTTTGTCGCAACATTTGTAAATCTTAAGATCCTTTTCAATTCAATATTTAATTAAAAAATAAAATAAAATACTGGTTCTTGACAAGAGGGCTTCTTGACAATAATTACATCATTTTCAGTTCCCACTCATCGGTAGAATCCAAAAGATGGCTTGTTATTATGGTAATCTCAAGAGCTTCATGAATCATTTTCATTCAAAACTTTCCTGCTAGATTTGATGCTTTCTCTATAGGAGTTTTTCTTTTAACACACTCGTGACGTGCAATGATTATTTGCTAACAACCATCCACGCACTGAAATCCAGGATTCATAAGAATTCTTAAAACAATTAATTGCTTAATCAATGACAAACACATGCTTACAAATCTAGACATCATTTCTCAATCACATTTAACCTTTTCCCTACCATAGTAGCCATATAATTGAGATATATATATATATATATGTATGTATGTATGACAATGTGAAATGGAGTCGTTTCAACCAACTAGTCCACTCCTTGAAATAAAGGTCGGTGATTTTTGCATAATATAGGAGACATTAGCAATGTTCATTAACATGCCATATGACTATAATTAAGTTTTAGACTTAGAAGGGAAGCAATCAACGTGTTGTCTTCTTTGTCAAAATGATAAGAGTACATGTGAGTTTGATAGAAGATCCAAAAAATATCAATGGAAAATCCAACTACAAATTTTGTGTCCGTGACAGACAAAACTTGGGTCCATCCATCTGTATTAGGGGGCCCATCTCCTATATGAAGAAATCGTAACCTTCGAATTTGGATGACACCACCTTTCATTAACAAACTATATATTCCTTGTAACCGAGAAGTTAAGGCTCCGAATCTTGTGACCTGAATGTTAGGGTTTGAAACATGAAAAAGGGATTTTTTATTTTTTTATTTTTTTTTTTATTTTACAAGGGTAAGATTTTCAGACTTCACAACAATTAAAGTCTTGTGCAATGAGTTAGTCCTTGTGCAATGAGTTAGTCTATACAAGTGTAAACCGGAACGATGTGTAATGGATTTGCATGTAGACTTAAAATGCTTTGGTAAAACGCTGGAAATTAACATGTACTATATTTATTTATATGTACACGTGTATTTATATGTATAATTGCAAGGAATCAATCACTGTTCAAAAATTCAAAAGAAAGTGGGGGAGTAGTGGATGAATTTCCTATTATGGTTCACTTTTGAGGTCATTGACAAATTGACCTACCATAGGGTTCTGGTCCTGTTTTGGGTTACGTCTCTTTCACGACAGCCTCACCCTCTTCAGCAAAACCAAACAAAACGACAATTAAAAAAGAATCTCATCTCTAGTTTTGTATTCGTGATGAAAAAAAAAAATTAAATAAAAAAAAAAAATCTCTAACTTTGTATTCGTAAAATTAAACCCACCCAAAAAAAAATAAAAAAATCCCAAATTTTGACTCTCAATTTTTTTTAGTCAAAGTTATCAAAATAAATTTTTAATTTGAGATATAGATAGTATATAAGTATATTAAAAAAATATGAATAAAAATAACATTAAATGATTCAAAAATAAAAAATGGTAATGAATTAAAATTTTTAAATTTTTAAAATTGACAGTTATTGTGGGGGAGCGGCAGTATAATTTTATAGATTTTGCATTTGAACAAGGGTCATTAACAAAATGGTATTTCTGACATTTCATTTTTGAAAGTTAGCGTGTGGGACATTGATCAAAGTAAATAATATATTAAATAATCTTACCTTTATAGATTTTGGGTGTGAAGAAGGGTCACTAACAAAGGGTATATTTTGTGACTTTCCTTTTTTGAAAGTTAAGGGTGTGTCGTGACATTGATCAAACCAAATAAAATATTAAATTGGTGTATGCATTATATGTGGAATGATACAAGTCTGTGAACAGCCAATGATATCTGACAAGAGAGAAATAAATAAAATAAAAATATATATACCCAACCCATTCATTTGATGGTGAAGCTCATATGATGAGCCCCAAACTAGTACTGACAAGTCAATATGAGGCATGTGTACGAATCACAAGAGAGCCAAGTACAGCAATATGGTGTGAGAATGAAAACACGGTTGTATGCTTAAATACTTCCAAAGTTTTCTAAATAAATTGGACCATCTCCTAGCATAAAATCCAAGTGAGGAAAGTCACAAGATGCCTTTTCTTTCTATTTAATTGATCGATCTAAATGTTGACTCAACAAAATAGAATAATACATCACAACAATGTAAGATTGGCGTTCATACCGGTTATTATAAAGTTATGAATAAGTTATTATAAAGTTTTACTTTCACTGTCCAGTTACCTGACACAATATTTCCCTGTGTATAAATAACATAAACAAAATTAAAATATAATACATTCTAACCCCAAAAACAATGAGCATGTTAATTGCATCCATATATCCTGAAAGTTATATGGATGCAAAATCACATCCCTTTTAATTAGGTAGGACATGAGTGGAATAATAATTTTCAGTTTCTAATCGTTAAGTATAAAATATTACCGAACCGTTTTCTATTTTCAGTTTTGAAAACAGAACACTGCACATAAAATTCTGCTTGATTCAATTTTCTGAAAACTCGGTTATAAAAATGTCTGTTTTCAGATAAATATTTTATAGTTCTCTGAACACAATTTTCTATTATATGAATTCTTAATAAATGTTTTCAGAATTACAAACCAAACAAACCCTACTTAATCCACTATTATTTCCCTCCCAATCTTTTCATTTTTTAGAGGATAGTATACGAGGAATAAGAAAGGATAACTATCATTTCTTTTATTTCATTTTAAACAACCCAAACACGATGAACACTATCATTTCTTTTCTTTTCTCTCACTATCCCTCCAAATCCCACAATGGAACACCAATGTAGCAATGAATACAAACTTTATATTTTTATTTTATTTTTCTTTGGCTGTGAACTATGATATTGATCAGTACAGCCTAATACCTTGTTAAAAGAGAGTTGTATCATGTTTTTAAAGTAAAGAAATTATACCAATTTAAATAATTGCAGCATTATCAAGAGATAAAATAACAAGGGACGTACGGAGGCTCACCTTCATGACTGTAGAGGTAAAAACTCTGAAATGTTTGTATTATTTCCCATATCTCCTTCGGTGGAAGTAACGGCCAAGCTTTTGTCTGTAGCAACAATGGAGCTAAAGAGGGACCAATGAATATTGGAAAATGGTTCAATCAGTCACGAGGAGTGTTTCAAACCTTCAAAACCTCTATTTCTCTCTCCATCCCTCTCCACTTCTTATCTCCTACGCTATTCTCCTCTTTCACACGAGACCAACATGTCTCGCGATCCAGTGGCTTCCATCTCTTCTTCTTCCTTAGTTTCTATTCATGATCATGAGAGAGTAGAACCCGAGACAATACGGGTGCTCGTCAATTCAATCAATCAGCACATCAATGAGTTCCTTGCAGACACCAAAACCCGAAAATCTTTGAAACAGAAATGCACTTCTAAGCTCAAGATTCAAAAGCAAGAATTCTTTGAATTCTCCGAGCAGTCAGTACTATCAAATCTTTATTGGGGTATTGAGAGTGTTGAAGCTGCAATAAAGACGAAAAGCCCAGAAGAGAAGACCTCCCGGCTGAAGAATTCAGAGAAATTGCTTCAAGTCCCGGCATTGCTCGATGAGCACGGAGTCACAGTGGGAATTTCAAACCGTTACTTGGTTTGTTGCTCCTACTTTTACCTCTCTGTGGTCTGGAAGCTCCAAAGGGATGAGTGCCAGGTTGCACTGCATTTTCTGCAAGCTCTTTCGGTCTCCCCAAGACTTGTCCAGACAGAATTTGTACCAAAACTATGTGAAAGTCTATTTCCTTCGTGTATTATGTCTGAAAGGCAGGAAGCGGCTGCAAGAAGCAGCTTGGAATCAGCCTCTCTCATGGATTTCCATGAGGACGAGATCGGTGAGGAGATGAGGCAGATGGCAAGCAGATATAAGGCCTGGATGACATATTATCAGGTCATGTCATATGGAGAGACCCCTCAAAAGTACTGCAGAAGAAGAGGTATTGCTTCAGCTGACGATGATCCACAACATTTTGTTATGTAAGTTTTCCATCAACGCCTGTCATGAATTCTGCAGTTGATGAAACATTTAGCTCATTAGCTCCAATTTGACATTTGAGAGTTTAAAACCATTAGTAGGTTAACGAGATAGTTAGCATCCCATAAAAGAAGATGCTCTTTTGATTTATGACTCATCATCCTCGTAGAATTGAAGGCCAGTAGCCGAAAGCATCACTAGCTTATGCTCTGACCTGAGTAGCATGGGGCACGAGGAATCCCATGTGAATCAGCAAGGACCACCTTGCAAGGCTAAAAACGGAAGGGATGGGGGAGAGAGAAAATAAAAGAAGTTAGCTGGAAAGAATTCCAATTTGCAGTATCAACAAATTGCTGATGTATGGCAAGATAGAATAACCAAAATAATCCTTGAGAAACATGTAACAATGTACTGCAGAACATTCACACAAACAAGATAGGGAACTCAGTTAAATCCTCTTCATTGATTTGACAGGAACTAACTTTTAAGATCACTATCACTCACATTTTATTAATCAGCATTATTGAATCATAATTTATAGCTTGTTTGTCTTAAAGGAAAGTAAATTTAGAAAAATTGCGTAAAAGCTAAAAGAAAAAGAAATGAATTGTTAGTGCAGCAATGGTAGTTGTTCTTAATCTTTAGGGAACATATGCATATCAATCACAGGGGTATAACTAGCTACTTTCAGGAAACTGACTTGCATCAGAAAGATAAATAGAAACAACTCCTATTACATAGGAGACCAGTAGGAATTTTCCTCAACAAAGAACGAATTCTGTGTGCTTAAACTGATGAAGTGTATATCATTTCCTTAATGTATCTTCTAAACTAATTTGGTTCATAGAAACTGGATGGAACTAATTTTTTTTTTTTTTGATAAGTAATGAAGTGTATATCATTTCCTTAATGTATCTTCTAAACTAATTTGGTTCATAGAAACTGGATGGAACTAATTGAAGTAGATATTCTAGATTTTCTAATTCCTGCGAGATCTCATCACCATTTGTTGTTCGTGGACAGGAATAAAGAAACCACAAGCACCAACTCTTCAAATTCATATGATGGTGGAAACAGCTTTCGAACCTATGAAAATGTAAGCCGTCACTATTTTCTTCGTCAAATACTAGTTTATCAATCTAATCTGACTGCGTTTAGGTCAAAACATTTAATTTCCTCACGTGTACTTACTGCAGAACTTGCATTAAAGCTTTAGTGTAAAATTCTATTAATCAACTAGTTTCAGGTTGTGAACAAAAGGAAGACATGGAAATATAGCTAGTGTAGTAAAAAAAACACTGTATAGATATATATAGGCATATCTGGACGTACTGATAAGTTTTGAAGTTAGAACTAATAAAAAATGCAGATGCCCAGTTCAGTGTTTAACCAATGACACCTTTTTGGACTTAGAAAATACACTAATAAGACGTCTAGCTTCTCCTCTAATAATATCTTTGTTTCAATTTGTATTCTATACATAAAAATCAACGCAGTTTGAGAAGGTGCATCCACTCTATCCTCAAGCATATTTAAGTGATGACACGGCAGAGAAGCCTAAGGCGTTTGAGGTGATTCCAGAGTTACAAGTGGGAAATTTGGAACATGTTTATAGTAGGGATAATAAAAGAAACTCAAATATCAAATGCATCAAAGATATGTTACAGGAATCTGAGTCAGATTATACACCAATTTGCCGGGATTCATGTGACAAAAGTTCTACAGATGAAGGTGATTTTGATGTAATTGCAGAAAGAACACCATATTGCCCGGGAGTGAGTATTTAACAAAACATCTAGAACATGAATGCCTGTACTTTTGTGTTACATTCTAGAACTAAAAGTATACAATGCTTACTTGTCTCTTTCTGAAACAGGAATATGCGCAAGAAACTGAAAGCTCAGTCAGAATCGTTAGAACAAATGCTAATGATCAACAACTAGAAATCTACAATCAGTTTGGTCCACAATCACATATACACTTCTAATTTTGATACCTTGACTTTCATATACAGCTTCAAATTATAGTATAATTTTGTATCTAATTGCAAAAACCTGTACAGGAAGAAGCAAGCTCCTTGCTCGATACTGAATACAAAGTGCACAGTTTCTTTGGCACAAGCTCCAGGGCGTCCAATGCAAGAAGAATCCAATAAAGGAAATGTCATGAAGTTCATTTCTGGAATATTCTCCGGTTCCAGTGATCTGGATTTATCCATATTGGAACTAACAGACATGAATTCACATTCTCTTTGGGATTGCCATGTAAAAGGAGGGAAATTTCAGAGGAGAATGTACCTACCTGATTCCCAGCACTTCAGTCATATGGAATCTATGGCTCTGCAGAATTATCAGTTCACACAGATGGATTGCGGAAAAAGCTCTGCAAGGAGAAGAGAACACTCAAGTAGCCAAAACAACTTAGAAGTCTGTTCACATCCTGAAAAAGGCTCCCTCATTGAACCAGTGGGGATAATTGAGAAAGCAATTTCGAAGCTATGCTTCTCGGAGGGATTAGAAAAATATAATGAAGATTACGCAGTTGAAATTACAGGAATATATGAAATGTTGGACAAAAAGGAAGGAGTAAAATATGCTCTCTTGAAGGACGTAATTTTGGATCAACTGCTAATGGCTATTTCATCTTCCAAAGAAGAGGGGATAATAAGGGCAGCAGTGTCTATACTATCAACTATCATTTTGGGGAACAAGGCACTCATAGAAGACATAAAGAGGAAAGGTTTACAGTTGTCTGATTTGGCAAGTGCCTTAAAAGGGAATGTATATGAGGCAGCTATTCTTATCCATTTAATAAATCCATCTCCTACTGAAATTAAGAGTTTAGAACTTTTACCAGCACTAGTAAAGGTCGTGTGTGCTTCAAACAGCTATAAGAGTAGCCTAGCATCACTTCTGCTGGCTCCTCCTGCTGCATCATTGATGATTATTGAAGTATTAGTAACTGCATTTGATTATGCTACAAATAACATGCACTTGGCTGCAATTAATTCTCCACAAATACTTTCTCGCCTCATTGATGTCCCAAGAAATAATCATCTGGAAGAGGTTATTGCTCTGGCCACTATTCTTGTGAGATGTATGCGGTTTGATGGACAATGCAGAAAACATATATCGCAATTCACTCCTGTGGCTCCATTTCTCTCCCTCCTAAGTAGTAAGCAGAAGCGTGCAAAGTACATCGCTCTGGAATTTTTTCATGAACTCCTTCGCATGCCAAGGTATGAGCAAAAAAGTTTAAGTTCAGTACTTTACATGTTATGGTAGTATGTAAATATAGTTCCATAAGAACTGAAGATGAAAAACATGATTATGATAAACTAGTCACTCCAAACGTGTACCACTTTGTGAAAAACATGTCCATATGTTGTGACTCAATAAAGATCAAAATTATTTAATTTTCAAAATCCAGCTTCATCCAAGCGTCCCTGACATTACCAAAACTGAATGTACTCCTTATATATACAATTGCTTAACCTTCCAAAAGAAAAGAAAATAAAATAAAATCAGTATGAACCTAATTATATGGATGTCATAGACGAGGGTTTCTTCATTAATTGTACACCCCATCTTTTTGTGAAGATATCAGAAAGTGTGTATCTTTTTTTCCTTCCATTTCTGAATATCTGGGAAGTTCCCTAATTCTATCTTTTCTTTGTATATTCTATAGGTGATCAGTGTTTGTAGAAGGACCTTATTTTTTGTCTGCTCTTGCATAAAACGCATGTGGAAGAAACTTAGTTATGTCTAACCCTGCATACCCTGCATGTGACGTGTTTTGGCCCCTTGGTGCCATTTTGGAGATATACTTTTACTTGAACAAAGAAACAACCAAAAAAAAAAATCAGATAGAGTCATCTGTTATACATTTGTTTAGGATTGAAAGCTGCATATTCTCACAGCATAATCCCCATGGCAAAATATCCTTAACAGATTTATTTCTAATTTATAACAGGTCATCAAGCATTAGTCTTTTGCAGCAGATACGAAAAGAAGGAAGCATCAACAATATGCAAATATTATTGCTCCTAATTCAACAATCACAACCTGAGTACAAACTTTTGGCAGCAAATCTGTTGCTTCAATTAGTCGCACTGGTAAGTTCTATAATTTGTAGGTTATGATTTTTTACAGGTTATATCTATAAACATCCAGGCTAACACGAGATTGCTTTTATCGAACTACCCAGTCTTCAATAAATCCTCTTTTCTAATTATAATTTAGTTTATAAATAATAACAAACTAGCTTGTAATTTAAAATCTAGCCACATGTGAGGGGGCGTGTTGGAGGATAGAAATAATTGAAGTAACACTCTCTCTAAAAACATAGGATTTCAGAGTAGATGGTGTTAAAATATTTAACTCTTAGCTATCCAGTGTGTGATGGCCACTGTGATTACAGCATTTTCATAGGACCTACAAATGATTAATCACATTGCCACCACATTGGCATGACTGATAGTCAAACTGGATAACTTCTCCAGTTAAAGTAAGAATTTGAATCATGATGCCTCTAGTCTGGCCTTTACATTACAACTAGAGAGTTTACTGACAGTTGAATGATGAACATTTTTCAGGAAGACTTATCTAGTAGAAGTATATTCAGAGAAGAGGCCATGGAGGTACTCCTGGAGTCGGTAACATGTGAGGAAAACTCTGCTGACCAGCAATTATCAGCATTTATTCTGTCAAATCTTGGTGGAACTTATGCCTGGACTGGGGAACCGTATACAGTAGCATGGTTGCTAAAAAAAGCAGGTTTGACCTCACTGCAGCATAGGAATATGATAAGAAACTTTGACTGGTTGGATCAAAGCCTCCAGGTGAGCAGTGATGAAAATTTAATACGGCATAGTGTAAAACTATAATCTACAACTCAGTCACCTATGTTCCATTTATAAGAAAGCTGCATGAACTGGCAGGATGCTGCCACAGACACATGGTGCAGCAAGGTTGCAAGACGCATTATTAGAAGTGGGAATCCTGTCTTCCATGTGTTGGAGAAGGGCCTAAAGAGCAAGATAAAGATGGTTTCTCGAGACTGTCTCACAGCTATTGCATGGCTTGGATGTGAGATTGCGACGAGCCCAGATAACGTGAGATATTCTGCATGTGAGATCTTGCTAAGTACAGTTGAGCAATTTTTGCATCCTGGATTGGAGCTTGAAGACAGACTCTTAGCATGTCTATGTATCTATAACTATGCCTCTGGTAAAGGTAATGCCTTCGGTGAAGAGAATAATAAGTGCTATACAGGAACATAAGTATGAAAGTACTAATTAAATGGAAAAACATGAACCAACTATGAACTGTGGAGCCATCCGTAAAGATCTAGTATGAAAGGAATAAATCTATAAAATTGTTCGTTCAGAAGGTCAATCAATAGTTATGAACAACAGTATTTATTGGGGTTTATTGAGTTCTATAGGTTTAGTGCAAGTGGCAGACTAATGCTTTACAATGCTATTAAATAAAAAATGGAGTGAGTTATTTCAGTTTCATAAAATGTCCAAAAAATTCCCCTAAATTAAAAAATTTATCTAATACTGTTGCAGATAATTGAAAAATATTGACGCATTAGAACTGGTAGAAAGTACTCAGGTCTCTCAAAGACACGTTACAATCAACAAATTTGACCCATTAGATACATGTCCAGCATGAACAAGTCAATCATAAACTCCGAGATAGTTTCACCAAACTATGTAAAAAGCTCGTGTCACTTCCTCCTAAAGACCAAAGGCCATAGCTGATGGTTGTTGAATCTTTATAAAACATAATAAAGAAAAATGCTTTGTCTCTTCATGTTTATACACAAGTTTTAGATTGGAATTTCTTTCTGCAGGTATGCAAAGACTACTACATTTCTCAGAAGGAGTAAGGGAGTCACTAAGACGACTTTCAAATATAACATGGATGGCAGAGGAATTGCTAAAGGTGGCTGATTATTTCCTGCCCAATATTTGGGTGAGTCTACTAGCACAATTCAGGTTTTTTATATAGATCACCAGTATTTCTTTTAAAGACAATCAATGGAAGCATCCCAACAATTACCTCTTATTTGCCTAGTAGATTTGCTCAAAGGTAATCCATCATTTCCTTTTGGGATTGACCACAGTAACTTATTAGGAAAAGTAAAATCCAACAAAATAAATCCTGCTCCTATAAAAAAATTATGAAATGTTCAGAAAGAATGAGTAAATAACACCACCAAGCTCAACTCTTCTCCTTTATTCCAGCCTATCAAGAATTCACCACAGCCTGCGAAATCAAAGCAATAAATTGGAATTTATGCGCAAGGAATTTCATAAGATTCAGAGAGGCTGCTGACAATGTCCCTACACCCTTCTTTTAGGCATGGAGCCAGCTATGCAAACATATATCAATTTTGCATTCAAACAAGGGAAATCAGCATTGCAACTGTCTTATCATGCAATAATTCCATAAGTAAATTATAATTCAATATGATATCAGTAGAACAAATGGATAAAACAAGAGACGTCAAACATTATATCAGACAACAAGAAGTTATACATCAACGTGGTCCATGCGTAGTTGACAATATTGGACAAAATTGTCCGCAAAATCATAATTTGTTGTAAACTTGTAAAACAAATAATTTAAGAAGATAGAACTAGCAATGGTTTTTCTTGATTGTCAAATTAATTGTGATATGAATGAACCAAAGTTTTATTATTGACATTATGCATTTGCAGCATCCTTATGTTAAAATCTGTGGTGGTACTATCAAAATATAGTACATATTTGATAATTATGTCTACTTGAAATATCATACAATGATGAATTATCATTTATTAACTTGTCTGTTTCATTTCCATGGTAAGAGCAGAGAATATCTTGCGTTCACACACAAATTCTGGAAGCTGGTAATGACTGCTGCGGAGCTGTGACTGCACTTATCTACTACAAGGGACAGCTTTGCAGTGGATATGCAGATGGTTTAATTAAGGTATGTAACCTCCCAGGTCTTTCATACCAAGGAAGCTACTGTTTCTGGTTACTGGATGCTAACAACTTCATAACATCATTTCTTGCTAAGGAACAAATTTAGAGTTGTCAATGTTTGGATGGGTTGATTTGATAAACTTTTAAGGTTGTGGAGGCCTCAACTGCCCTGCATTCAAAATGAAAACAAAACCATCGAGCTTGATTGAAAAATCACTATACATGTGCTTGTAATATAAGAAAAGCTGACGGAAAAACTCAATGATGTGGTTGTATTAAATAGGTGTGGGACATCAAGGGAAAAGCAGCCACACTTTTATTGAGCATTAAGGAGCACAAAAAGGCAGTGACATGTTTTTCGCTCTTTGAACCAGGAGATTGTCTGTTGAGTGGCTCTGCTGATAAAACAATGCGGGTAACTTAATTTTTTTATTGCAATAATCACTTTTAATTCTTAATTGGAATGAACTACCTCTGAAACGGCACTATTATTTTTTGGTACAGATTTGGCAAATTGCCAAAAGGAAACTGGAGTGTATTGAAGTAATAGCAATGAAGGAACCGATTCAAGGTTTAGATAGTCATGGACAAATGATTTTTGCAATTACAAAAAGCCATGAGATGAAGGTACTAATTCCATGGGATGCAAATTACATTTACCAAACATAGCATGAACATATAGGACGGTATCAAATTTGTCCTTTGTGGTGTGTGTGTATGTGTGTGCGTGTGAATGGTGACAATCAAAGTTAATCTCCCTTCATATTTTGAGATAACCACTTAACTTCACAGAGATCCTTCTTTTCAGGTGTTTGATGCATCAAAAACAGCCAAAGACATTTGCAAGAGTAAACGTGTGAAGTGCATAAGAGTAATTGATGGGAAAATTTATGTAGGTTGCATGGATTCAAGCATACAGGTTCGTTTGACAGTCTTTTTTGCTACCAAACTGATGCACAGGTTGAATTCTTAGCTAATACATCAACAAATGTAGGAGTTAGATGTAACAAACAATCGGGAGCGAGAGATAAAAGCACCATCAAAAAGTTGGAGCATGCAAAGCAAGTCCATCAATTCAATTGTAATGTATAAAGACTGGTTATATAGTGCAAGTGCAATTGTTGAGGGTTCATATATCAAGGTAAGGAAGATAAATTGTTCTTCGAGTTACTACAGAAGGCTTCCTAATGATCAAAATAATAATGCAGGAGTGGAGAAGACATAGCAAACCCCAAATGTCAATAGTACCAAAGCGAGCAAACGTGCTGGCAATGGGAGTGGTGGAGGACTTCATATACTTAAACTGCAGTTCATCAACAAGCGTCCTTCAGGTGATTAAAATAATTTCAATAAGAAACTGCAATATTACGGTTGAGAATATCAGAGGTACTCATAACTCATGGTGTACAATAATAGATCTTTGGCACCACATGCTCAAATAAATGTAGTCATGGAGTAAATTGCATTGACAAGTGAAGAAAGGAATAAGGTTCAGAGTGTTGTGAGAATACGATACATATTTATGGCTAATCTAATGCATGTGGGGATACAGTAATGCCCTCATAGTGGATCATCAATAGGGTATAAACCAGTAAACAGACCTCATTTCTTCTATCAAGCATTCAACTTCTAATATATTGTTTTAACCAGATTTGGTTGAGAGGGACACAGCAACAAGTAGGAAGGTTGTCAGCTGGCAGCAAGATAACAAGTCTACTCACTGCCAATGACATTGTGTTATGCGGTACTGAGAGTGGACTAATCAAGGTATGGTAATTCAACTCATCTAGTTTGAAATTTTTTATGCTATCTTCTTTCTATTATGCGTTGTTCCTCAACCCAATATCCCAATCTCCATTTGACAGGGCTGGATCCCCCTCTAGCAGAAACAATTGAAGTGGCCTAAATTATATTACAACTTCGTCAAGTATAGTATATGTGTTTGTTTGATTGAATCACATTACCATGTACAAAGCAATTGTAAAATATATATCTAGAAAAGGAAGAGGACTATCATACGATTGATAAGAGTAATGTTACCTTGAAAGACTATCTCCTTGTAAATTAATTGTATACCACAGTTCAACATTGAAAAGAATAATAGCACCAATCTTTTCTAATTTAATTATGAAATACAAATGGAATGAATTTTGAATTGACATTTTAAATTAACAGCCAAGTGGTGAAACATGAAAAATGCATGAAATTTCCAATGCAGACTTAGAAACCCCACAACGCTGCCCCCATGATTGTACAATCCTCACTCTTCAATACTTCGACTTGAGAATTCACTGGTGAGGGAAATAAAAGCACCTATTTCAGACGTCATATGAAAATATGAAATGTTATTGACAGGGCTTCTGCAAGTAGTTTCTTTTTCAGTAGGCTATGAAAACCCTGTGTAATGAAGTGCCAGTACACTAGAGAGTCGTCCTTTAACGGATTTACAAAGTTAATAATAGTTGAGACAGAAATGGAGATCGGAATGAGGAGAAATACCTTGAACTGAAAGTTTAGCTAGAAATGGCATTGCTCCAATTCACTAAAAATAAAAAATAAAAATAATAAAATAAATAAAAAGGTCTGATAAGAGAAGCATCCCCAGATTATACTTCATGTTGGGTGAAGAAAAAGAACCAAAAAGCAAATTATGTAGCAGCTATATTGATGAATTTAAACACAATATTGATGTTCTGAAATACTATTGCACATTGTAATTGACAGTAGCCCAATACCTATATTGATGTTCTGATTAATTCCTATACAAAAATACAATTAAAACACAGTTGAAGCAACAAATTGATATGCTAATATGAATATTATCAATCTCCCTTTTAAGAAAAATAAAAGAAAATCAAATCAAAAAAGAAGAAGAGAAAAAAAGAATCCTTAAAACTATATTTATATGTGTATGATGCAAAAATAAATCAGTAGTGAGTCAATCAGAGATGTGATGCTCATTACATGATTGGAGAAGTAAACACAAACTGACCTTCTTACAGACTTGACTTTGAACCACCCATTTGTGTTGCTTTTCTGATCATGGAATGCTTATGCTGTACAGCAAAGGGCACGATTAAGGAGTGCATTATGGACTTGGTGAATATGGCGCCAATTAACACAAAGTCGAATTTGAAGATGAATCCATATTTCTATATTTTTCTTTTCATTTTTTTTTTTTCCCAAATCGTATCTAAGTTTATATTAGGTTGCGCCCTCTGTGGTTTGTCTGTCACAAAAAATTCATCTCTTTGACAAATAATTTAAGCCTTTATAAATTTATATTTTTTTGCCCCAAATTGGAGCCCTGTGCGACCTCCTTAAAGTCTCAAATACCAAAACAGCAAAAAGCTATAAAAATTTAACAAACACGAAGGAAAAAATAATAATAATAAATTATTATTATTATTATTATTATTTTTGTCAAGGCTTGTTTGGTTTAGATATTTGAGAACTGAAAATTTTAAATGGACAGTTTTTGAAATTTGTTTTTTAAAATGTTTGTTTTTATATAATTATTTTTTATAATTTTTTGAAATTTATAACTAAATCTGAGTCTAATATTAAAATAACTTTCTCTCCCACCTCTCTCTAACTTTCTCTCTCTAACAGACAACTTCGTCTTCTTCACTCTGCCTCCCTGCTACCTTCCATGGGAGTGGGAAGATGAAGATCGCCTCCCACGTTTGTAATAAACTCAACGTGTTTTAATAAGTGTGCTTCGTGGTTGTTTTTTTATGCCATTTTTTTATTTTCTTCGGCTAGATCTGTTCATGTTCGGTTTGTTTTCAAATCACATGGGCAGATTTGTTGTTTTTTCCGACTAGATCTTTTGTCTAAGTCGGTTTTGATTTTTCCCGCCTCGATTTAATCTTTTTCTCCTTGATTTGATCTTGTGCGGGGTTTATTGGATGTTGGAGTGTCTTATGGTTGGAGCTTTGGAGCGGTTGCGGTGATGATGGCCAAACCTTTCGGTCTCTCCTATTTGTTGCGTTCTCCCATGGTGATTCCGTTTGCAGAATGTTGGGCTCTATTTCCTCCACAAATCTAGAATATGTTCTTCATTTTTTTATTTTGCTTCAAGATTTGTATGCCTTTTTCTGACTTGGCTTTATGCCTCTGTACTGCCATATTGGCTTTAGGCCTTTGTGCCTTTAAATGAAAAAATAAAAAAATAAAAAAAGACTCTAATATTAATTATAATATTTTACCGAATTTAAAAACTTAAATTATTACGTAATAATACCTTGGGAAATACTCATTGCACTAGATCCGAAATGAACATTGTGACGACTATCATTCCGCCTCTCATTCTCGTTCCCTCACCATTTTGTTCCCTCCATCTTCTCATAAACAATATTAATAAAACAAGGCAAAAGTGCAAACAACCCCTCTAAATTATCACAAATCGGCATTTTACCCCATTAGACTACAAAAATGAACAAATTAATACCACAATTAACACAAATCGTGCAAATTAACCCCTGAAACGTAATTCCGGCCACTTTCCGGCCCACAAGGTCAGCACGTGGCTGTCCTTTTTTTTTAATTCTGAAATTGCCCTGGAAAATTGCCGTTGTAACCCTTTGCCTGTAAATAAAGAACAAAGTTTATATATATATGCGTGTGTGTGTGTGTGTGTGATAATATATATATACAAAAAGTGCACGAGTATTTTTAGACAAACCAATTTTAAATGATAGGAACCGACGACGACGAACGGCAGGGACTTACCGATGAGCACGTAGGTCTAAACTGACTGTTGGTGAGTGAACTGGCGAGCACGCGAGTCTAAACTACAGCCATGGAACTTATCGGCGAGGACGCAGGTCTAAACTGTTGCCATGGAATGAACAGCAAGGCGCAGACTGAACAGACATGGAACTTACCGGCGAGCACGCGAATTGAATCAGCGATGAGAAATAGCTCGGTAGTGATGGAGCGCGAGCAAGCACTATTGGTTAAGTTCTGCAGATGGGTTGGGTGTTTGGGTTGCGATCGGTGTAAGGGTTTTGCAATTGGGTATTGCACATTATTTACGCGTTGAAGAAGATGAACAGTGACGGCATGAGGCTGTTTGTAAATTCAGAAACTCCAAAATTCAAGCAATTCTCTCATCTGGGTCTCTCTCAATCGCTCCAAAATCTTCAATTGGGGAAAATATGTGGCACTCACCCTGCAGCTAATCTATTACCTTTTTACTCCGGTAAATAACTAATTTAAAACTGCATACAAATTGAAGTTGAAAATCTGTAAGTGAGGTGGTGGCGCCTTATAGATGGTGTAGATGATAGGTGGTTTCAGTGGGTGTGTGGCCTTTTGGGTTTGGATGGCGTATGATTTGCTGAATCTAGTGATTACATGAAGTTAGGGTGTGGTTGCATTGCAAGATGGAGTCCGCTTATGACGCAAATTGTGATGACAATTGTGCCTTGACATTTTTTTTTATTGTTAATGAAGTTTTTAGATTGGTTTTCAAAATTTTAATTTTTGGCTCTAGATTTTAGATTCTAGTTATAGGTTTATTTTAGATTTTAGTTGTCATTTTCCTCGTATCATTACTTCAGTGTAACTTTATGAATGACGTGCCCTTTCACTTTTCAGTCTCACTGTTTAGTTACTGTGTTTCAGCCCTTACTCCTTGCCGAGGTGATTTACTGTCGTCTGGGCCATGATTATATGCATGGGAAAAGTGAGTGTATATCACATGAGGGGCATTGAGGGTATTTCACACCTATTATTTATTTTCATATTTTTTTTTCTTAATTAGGATGGGTAGTTTTGTAAATCTACAATGAGGTCGTCCGGAAAGTGGCTGGAATTGCGTTTCAGAAGTTAATTTGCACGATTTTGATAGTTGTGGTACTGACTTGTTTATTTTTGTAGTCTAGAGGGGTAAAATACCGATTTGTGATAGTTCAGGGTTGTTTGTACTTTTGCCTAAAACAATTATTTTTTATAAAGTTATTTATATTGGGTTGTGATTTCATTTTGGACCTTTTCATTTTAGAAACTGCTTTTGGCCCAACACTTCAGTTTGTTGTACCTGTATCAAAAACTCATACCTTTTTAAGCAAAATAAAATCTGATGAACTAATTATTCAAAATAACATCAATCAATGGGCCTGGCTGGATTTAATTCTCATTCTATAGTTTTGGGCCTATAGGTTTATGAAGCCCATCATCCAACCTTCCCAAATATGTACTGTATGTATATGTGCGTGTGTGTGTGTATATATATATATATATATATGGGATTTTTACCAATACATGGGCTTATGGCCCAAATACTACAATATAATGAAGATAGGTCTTAAAGTTTCAATAATTTGATGGACCACCAAAATATTTTTCTAAAATGAACTCCACTTTATGCTTTATACCTCACAACAAACTATAATACTATAATGACCCCAAGTAATAGATTATTATAACTTGAAAGCCTTATAACATGAAATAAACTTGCAAAAAGTTCCTAGAACAAACTATTTAATATTTCTCGTTACCTTTTAATTTTCAAAAATAAAATAAAGTTTCATGATAAATTAATATAGACTTATAGACTTCTTTAGACAAAAAATCTTATATATAAATTAAATTTAACGAAATAGTATAGGCTCTGGTACCAAAATTGAGTTGGATCTAACCGAGTAGAAGTATGCAAAATAATATAGAATAAATTTAACAATTAAATCACAAAAATGACTGCCAAACCTGATAACGTTCTGATAATGCCCTATAAAAACGCTTGAACACTGGTAAGAATAGGCCAACAAGTTAACAGTTCGAGTCAACTCACAGAAGAAATTTCTAATTTATTACTAAGGCTGCTTGTACTGGTTGGATTCAAGAAAATTTTAGGATTTACACTGTCTGGCTAAATAAAATCTATATATCTAATCTTTTTGTCGACAGAAGTCTTTTGTCCGAAAGTTCTAAAAATACTAAACAGGGATAAAGAAATTTTTGAATAGGAGCAAACTGGATGATTTATTTCATGAAAAATATATAAATGGATACACTCTCACACACTATTTTACAAAGAGATATGTACGGAAAGAAATCACAAAAGAAAGCACACTAGAAGCTTATAGCAGAGGACTGGAATGCTTCATGACTCTTAACTTGGTGGCTCTAAAACTCGATGATCCTTACTCGAGCAGAGATGCTCCTTTTGTAGGAAAAGAGGGAGATAAAATAAACTTCTGGGGCGAAAATATAATTTTTACTTATAAAAAGGGTTAAACTAAAAATTAGTTCATATATTTGTAAATATACAAACTAGGTTCATGGATAGATAATATACTCTTGTTACTACCACTTTATTGTAAAATCCCCTGTATATATACTATGTATAACATGTTGACTATTTAGTGTCCCTGTACTCCATACAATTCTAGAAAGGCTTAGACTGATCCATTAAGAAACTCTAGACTTGTCTCAGAATACAAAAAGAAGCATACAGCAACAAAATCTTATTTGAATTTTTTTATTTTATTTCCTTTCTTCTTTTTCTGATCAAACGATGAAAATATAATTAACTCCATTGATTTCACGTTCTTGACTAAACTTAGACCATAATTACATGTCATTAGATCTAGTTTTAAATAAGACTGGAAATCTAACTTTTTTACCATTAAAAAGTATTTGGCCCAAAGTCTTATCCAGAGTCACAACTTATGACTTCTTCATAGAAACTTTGCATTTAATTAAAATATTCAGCATGAATTTGATCAAATGCGTACCTAATCACCTTACACCGCCTTTTAATAAATACGAGTGAAATAAAATACAAAAAGAGAAACAAAAACGAAGAAAATTAGAATAATAATGATCTCACCATGTTGAATAGATAAATCAAGAAAAGATAGAAAATAATAATGCTAATTTTTGTTGTGGTTAAAATTATAAGTACCTAGAAAGTTTTTGTTTAATTTTATGAGTTTCCTCTAAACTCTTTAATTTTCCTCATTATTTTTTTTTTCAAATTCCTCGAATCAACTATTAGTTTGTTTGTATGTCAAATATATATATATTTTTATTATTTTTGGTATTTAATTATTGCAAAATATTTACCAAAAAAAATTAAATCTTAAAAAAAATAACTCTAGTTACCTTACATCAAATTGTTTTAATTTAGACAGTCCTTAATTAAACTTAAGTTACCTTATATTATACTTTTAAAAAAATTAATTAATTAAATTTTTTTTTTTGTTAAATAAACAGAGCCGAAGTGCAAAATCCAATTAGAAACGGCTCGGACCGTTCAAATTTTGGTCCAGCCAAAGTCTCGATTATAGAGCCTTCGGGAGTTTTACACCTTCAATCCGATTCAATATGTAATATACTCCTACAAAATAACCAATTAACTCCTCTGCAAGCAGGTGATCGAAGAAAAAAAACAATGGCGGAATTGAAGAACAAGTTTGAATCTATCAGGGAATGGGTCGTTGAGCACAAACTTCGAACCGTTGGTAATCTCTCCTTTTTTATATACATACTTATATATGCGCGTAAGAAAATAGTATTTAATTAGTTATATATGGAGTTAGGTTTCGGTTCTGATTTTGACCTTTTTATTTTAAAAAATTGAAGGATGTTTGTGGTTAAGCGGCATAGCGGGTTCTATAGCATACAATTGGTCTAAACCCAACATGAAGACCAGTGTAAAGGTCATTCATGCCAGGTACAACAACACTAGCCTCTCTCGAATTTCTCATTTTCTGTTTGGTTCCTGGGAAAATTGAGCAAAGGGAACGGAGAAAAAGGGAGAACCATATAAGTACCATTTTCCCCTCTTGTTCTCCTCACGCTCCTCAGCATCCAAACTGAGATTTAATTTTTGTATGTACATGTACATGTTATTCAGAAGTTCAGATGTATTTCTGTTAATCATTTGCCATTGTATGAAATTTTGATTGATCAATTGAAGTGCCAAACGGATTTCAAGAAGATAAGTAATTAATTTTACGCTGCTGCATGATATATAATTGTATATTTAAGTTACGATGTACTTACTATAGGACATGGCTGTAGATATTGCAATTCATCCAACATATTTGATACTCGGGAAACCTTTATTTAGGGTTTTACTTTTTTGCTTTGTGTATATTGGATGTTGCTGGTACCAATAGGTATTGAGAAATATGCATGGTATCTACTAATATTCCAAACTTCCAGACCATATATCTATTATGTTCATGACTAAGCACCCAGCACATGATGATCATGTTTATGACTTAGACAGACCATGATATGATGATCATGTTTATGACTTGCCACCAAACTCTGTCGTTGTATATCTATTTTTTCCGTAATTTAAACTTTTTCTAAATTGATAAACAAGAGCATTGGTTTTTTCTTCTACAACAAGAAGCGGCTTATAAACATCACAGAAGGTTCAAGGTTTCCTCAATCGGTCTCATATGCCCTTAAACCCTTTCCATGTTGTATAGTGACCATGTGCTCCTGACAAAACTTTTTTTTTTTGGTTATCTGGTGAGTGGCTGAGCCTGTACTTTAGTTTTTAGTAAGTCAGATCTTAGAAATACAAAGTGTGTGGCTGCCGCATAATAGGTACACGAGGGTAGCTGGAAATTGCTTTCCTGAAGGATACGGGGGATGTGTAATACTATTAGACAGGAATATCTAATAATTATTTGAATATTTGTTTAAGTGACAGTTTTTCTCTGTAATTCTGCAATTTGAGCAGAAAAACTATTTATGATTTCATTTTGTATTTGTAGTTTATTTTAATGATGAATTTTGCACTAAGAAGGCCTCTTATGTTGTTATCTGCTATCTTCGTACAAAATATTAATATTATGTTTGGGAGCACCGAATTGGTGCCTTGGATTTGGGATTGAAGAAAGTTTTGTTCAAAATTTATACTAAATTTTGTTCAATCCCAAATCCAAGGCGCCGATTCGATGCCGCCAAACATAGCATATGTGGTTTTCTATAATAACCCAAGCTTGGCTCAATTAGGTTCTATTGTGGTTCAAACATGTAATAACCCAAGCTTGGCTCAATTAGGTTCTATTGTGGTTCAAACATGATTCTACAATTGTCTTTCAAGCTTCCAATAAGGAAATGTCAAATTGCGATGTGACTCATTTCAAATGAGGAGTTTGATATGGAAGATTCCTGCAACTATGAGTTATTATTATTATTTGATACCTTAAATAGCAGACCCTTAATATGGAGTAATACAACATATCGTCTCAAATTATTTTGGGGACTGATCTCTCTCTCCCTCACTCCAGCTGGTCTTCCTCTTTCTTGCTAACTAAATATTTTACCATCTTTAGACAAAAACTTCTTCAAATAGTGGGTTACTTTTAAAGACCTTATTTAAATTAAGAATAATGATTTATAGGCCAAATTCGGACTTGTCCGAATGGGTTTTATGCAAAGTGGGTGGTGGGCCGAATTTGGACAGAGTATCAGTATTCTTAAATTATTGATAGGATTAAATCAGTATTCTTTTTTGGTTTTATTAAAAAGGAATCTGTGGGGGCTAGCCACCTATGTTTCATGGAGTCGAGTAAGTGTACTTGGTGTGGATGTGTGTCTAAATCTTTCACCTACTCGAATTCCAAATAGGATGCGGAGATATGTTTCCAAAAGTTGGATACCTGTACTTAGACAGATACTAGACATTTAAATACATTATTGCTATGTTTGGGAGTACTGAATTGACACTTTGGATTTGGAATCGGAGAATATTTAGTTGAACGTTTAAACTGAATTTTTTCCAATTCCAATTTGAATGGGCCGATTTGGTGCTTCCAAGTGCAACATATATGTATTATTATGAAGTAATGTTCAAATGTGTAATGTGGTTGTTTATCATACTTGATTATCTGTCCAATTAAATAGGTTGTGGTAACAGGCAAGAGTTTCCATCTATTTTATATGGATAAAAGCTCATGTCTGTGCTACTAAATTTGAGTTTTTTCTTTTTCTTCAGTCATGTCATGTGAAGGATTGAGGTGTATAATTTGGGTTTGTGCATTAGACGCATATCTTGTACTCCTATGGTCTAACCCATGTTGTGTCGTGTTGATATGTGTACGTGAAAGGAAATAAGAGAGTCCATGTAACAAAGTTAGCCACACTGTTATTTCAAAGGATTGGAGAAGTGACTGTGCAGTTTATTCCTTGACTTGTATGAGAACATAATAACTCAAAATGACATAATCTCCACTGTCTTAGCTCTTGACTTTTGTTTGTATTTTCAAGTGGTGAATAACAATTGATTTATTTATGCATTGGTGTTTGTGATTGAGGGGCTCAAAAAAGATGAAGTCAGGATATTCGATATTGTGAGACGAAGTCCAAAAACAATTTTTAGGTCCTTTGAAATGCTTTTTCAGGCAAAGTTCCAATGGTTCTTTTTAATTTTTAGACAGTATGAAAGAATTAACAACTACAAGTTCATTTTAGGTATCTCTTTGTCGGTAAAGTTGGGTAACTCGATGATGAAATTGCATGAAGTTATTACTCGTATGATCTTCATTTTTGATCTTACGACGTTTGTCATTTTTCTTGGTCAACCTATGTTCGAATTTGTCTCCATTTTTAATCTTAAGCAGTTTGCCATTTTTCTTGGTCAATCTGTCTTCGAATTTGCTTTTCAATTGTGTTTGATTTCTATAGTTTAAGTAGTGGAATCATGAATGTAACTGCTAAATCTTATTTGGAAAATAGGTTGCATGCACAAGCGCTTACACTGGCTGCATTAGCGGGAGCTGCAGTTGTCGAGTATTATGACCATAAGTCAGGCGCAAAGGCAGATCGTGTTGCTAAATTCCTCAATGCGGATGGACATCATCAGAAAGATTGAACCAGGAATTTTCCAAGCATGGATGGATCAATTACAAACACTTTAGTTTCATTTCATCTCAGTGCCCTTGATTGTTTGTTGAACTGTTAAGAGGGTAATACTTAGTGGAATGTCATACCAATTTCGTTACGCCAATACTTGCTCAAATTAATTCTTTTTTTTTTTTTTTTTTTTTAACAGGAGAAGATTAGTTTTGTTCTTAGGTTCTACAATGTCATTTTGTTAGGAAACATGCGGTTATCAGGAATTGAAAAATGTTAAAAGGCAGAATAGAGTAGCTGATTTCTGTAATAGCAACTAACTATGATCAACAATGACTATTCTGGTTTGATGGTCATGATTTGTGCATAGCTGGCATTTTGACATGAGGAGGAATAAAATCATTTCACTGCATTTTACTTCTTTGTGGTGTTTTTTGGAGTTATTTACACACACACACACACACAGCAGTCTTATCAATACACACAGTACACATGATGATGATGATGATGATGATTTCTTTGGGTTAAACAACATAAAGGTGGGTGTGCTCATGGGTGGTTCTAAAAAGGAGTTCAAACCTAACCTCTTCAATACTCCACTTTCTAGCAAGAATAACATTTGCCTGCGCATTTAGAGATCGATTTCATGGTGGAACGAAACTCTTACTTTAAGTAGGATGGTCCATGGTGGACTGTCTAGGTTTTACTTCACAAATCAATGGGCATGTTTTCTTTTTGCCTTCCCACGCCATAATATGTGGATCACGATAATGTGATCTATACTTCTTTATAATTAGCTTATTTGCCAAGTAACCTCAATTTCTATTCATGTTACAATTTTTTTTTTTTTGGTTAAAAATGTATGTTGTTCTCAAATGGTTTTCCTGCGTGGCGGTGATTCCCAAGTCGTAAAAATCTTAGGATGGAATCTAACCATTGCTAGGTAAATAATTATATATATATATATATATATACACACAGGGGCAGGGGCGGAGTCAATTAAGGCTTGGGGACACTGGCCCGCCTAACAGAATATATATAGTTAATTTGTAATTTTTTTTTTAGTATATATGAAAAATTATATATTATGCCCCTTAGATTTTTACTCATTTCATCTCATATTAATAGTCCATGGTCTTTTTTTTTGTCGTCTCATTTTAATTGTTACATTTTAAAAATCAATACACTACTTTTTATTACATTCTAATTTATTCCTAAAAGATTAAACTAATTAAAATTTCAAAATAAGTGGACCCCATTTTCCATACTATTACTTTTGAAACCCAAAAATAAGTGAACCCCATTAAAAATCAATACCTTACTTTTTAGGGAATGGCAAACGTGGAAATGCATCATTTGCCAACCCAATAAAATATAATAAAAGTTGTTTGCCTTAAAAAGCGTGAAATGTAAAATTGGACTATTATTAAGGGACAGAGAGAGTAATTTTTAAAATTATCTTAACTTTTTTAAAAAAAAATTCTTAAAAAAAAGAGTCAAATTTTCCTTTTTAAATCACACTCTAATTTTTTTTTTTTGTTTCAAATATATCTCAATTTTTTTTTTCCTTTTTTTTTCTTAAAATTCTTTTTTTTGTGTGTTATATCAATGTAAGTTGAATTATTATTTTTTTTAAAATGTGCCTCTTCTAAATTAAAATCTTGGATCAGCTCCTATATATATATATATATAAATTCGCAATATTACCCTACCCAAAGAGGCGATATTCGCACCCTATTTTTCTTCAATTGCATTCCACTTATCTTTTTTCTTTTAAAGAAAATGACAAGAAGATCATTGAATTCATTAATACACTATGCCTTATTTTATAATGTCATAACTACCCTTTATACAACTTAATTTTTTTTTTTTTTTTTTTTACCTTCTTTAGTTCATTTACTATTTTTTTTTTCCGTGTGCTATACTTTATTTTCTTTTTCTGTCCAAAGGTCCTTTCAAAGAAGATAATTTATTTCATACGAATAATTTTATTTTTGGCAGTCAAAAGAGATAATTTTTTATTGCACTTTTTTTAATGCAATCAAAACAAATAATTTATTCAACAAAGTTGACTTTTGTGTATCTTTTTCTAGAAATATATATATATATATATATATATATATATATATATATTAATCCTTTTTTTTCGTACCTTTTTTTTTTGGATCTTGACAAAAGAGATAATTTCATCAATAAATAATATTTTTTTAGATTTTTTTCCTGTCAAAAGAGATAATTATTTTAATGGTTACTTTTTTTTTATTTTTGGTCAAGTCAAAAGAAATAATTCATTTAACATAATTTTTTTCTTGGTCATGGAAACAAAATATTATTCAAATATATATATATATATATTTATCTTGTCAAAAAAGACATAAAATATTAAAGATTATAGATAAATAAAGAAAATATAAAAGGACAATTGTGTCATTTAAAAAATAATATTGTAATTACCAGCTAAGTCATACAATCCTTCTTAAGTGTTGCTCTCAAGCTCCGCTCGAATTATGACTCAAATTTTAATTATTTATTACTTTACTTAAAATTACATGGCATTTTCGTGATTATACCCACAACAGTGGCATTTAAGAAAGCGGAAGAGTTATAAACTTATAACTGCTAAAGAAACGGAGAGAACCATACGTCACGCGCCGGAGGGTAATGTCACGACGAAATTCCATGCAAAAGTCTCTACTCCACCGTTGATGTCGAACTATTGTTCGAGTCTTTCTCACGTAAAGACCCCTTTTCTCTCTCTCATATTCATATATGTATATATATATATATATATACACACACACAAACACATATAAGATACATTAATACCTCTCGAGTCTACCTGACATTGTTAGCTTCCGTTTCAGTTTTCTTTCCTTCACGTTTCATTCCATCGAACTCTCAGATCACACATTTAATTCCTTCACCCATAGAATTTTGATTGATTTATATTCTCTCCCAATCAGGACTCGTACAATTTTCGGGGGAAAATTGACCAGTCTAGAGAGAGAATGGATTCTGAGCTGATCTCTAAAGTCCATCAAACCAAACATAAGCAATTTGCCTCCGTGATGTACCCCATTCGTTACATGCTTCGCGAGCAAAGGCTCATCTTCGTATTGATTGGAATCGCCATTTCTGCTCTAATTTTCAGCATCCTTCCCAATTCGCCTCCATTGTCAAACTATGAACAGATCACTGACTCGTTTCACTCGGCCGAGTCAACTCAGATCCCTCGCCGAGTCACTTACGAACTCCATCCCGGGTTCGATCACATGAATGCAGGTACTCCTCGTACTAACAAACTTCGTCAATTTATTCTTAAATATCTTTATTTCGTTTATTTTAATAATTTTAAAATTCAAAAAATTTTGAAGTATTTTTTTTTTTCTTCTGGAAAGTAAAATAAAAAATTATCATCTAAATTTAGATCGATGCAAAAATTTAATTTACATTTAAGTAAAATTACAATGTCTGAATAAATTTATTTTGACGATTTCAATAAACCTTATTCGAAATGGATATTTAAATTAGTTTAAGTTTGAAATTAATTTTTTCATGATTTACTTTGTCATTTCGAATAACTGTAAAATTAGATATATTGTTTTATGGATTTGAATGTTGTAGGTGGAAAGATTCCTCTGGGGTTGAAAAGGAAGAGCAAGAGGATTGTGGTGACTGGTGGGGCCGGGTTTGTGGGGAGCCACCTGGTGGACCGTCTGATCGCACGTGGGGACAGTGTGATCGTGGTTGATAATTTCTTCACGGGTCGTAAGGGGAACCTGGTGCACCATTTTGGGAACCCAAGGTTCGAGCTCATTCGGCACGACGTGGTCGAACCCATTCTCTTGGAAGTTGATCAGATCTACCATCTCGCTTGCCCTGCTTCTCCTGTCCACTACAAGTTCAATCCTGTCAAAACCATCATATCCTTTCTTAATTTTATCCTAATTGTATATATGTGTGTGTCTTTTTATGCATATTTTTATCCGATTTTACTCCCAAATTGGGTCCTCTCACGTGTTTCGTCCCGTATTTTTATATTATTTATGCAATAATTTTATTATTTATTATTTTATTCCGTATCTTTACATTATTTATGCAACAATTTTATTATTTGCAATTAGTTGTTACACTGCTCTCACTAGTCTTTTGTGATCACGTTTGGATTAGTCCACAGTTTTGGTCCATTGTTTTGATATCACTTGATATACTAGACAGGTGGTTAATGAATTTTTTCACTAGTGTCATGTATTGCATTGATAGATATTAGTAATTAAGTCATTCTACATAGAGTCGCATATCATAAGAAAGAACAAATAATTAATTTAGAGCTTTTTATTCATGGGATAGTTGTATACAGAAGTTAAAGGCATGTTTAAATAAATTTTAAGAAATTTGAAAACAATAATTTTTATTTTTATTTTTTATTTTTAGAGAATTAGAAAAGAAAACTTTTTAAAATGAAACATTCTTCATCTCAAAATTTTTTTTTTTAACCAAACAAATGTTTATTTATATTTTATTTAAAATTCTTTAGCGGTGTGTTTGACAGTATGGAATTGGAGTTTTGTAATTGGAATTTGAAAAAAATAATTAAGAAAATTGAGTCAAATTTTTTTTCAAATTCCTCCAATTTCAAGACTCCAATTTCCCGAACACACCATAAAAATAAAAATTGTTTCAGAAACCTAAATTAGACTAATCCAACTATACCTTATACTATAAGATTATAGGTGGCACAACAATTGATTGATGAATGGTATGAATCAAAATCATATGACATGATACTTTGGTAGATGCTTGCACGCATGTGTCTATGAATTTTGTGAACATGTTGGGACTTGACTTTATGAGCTATGGCTTTACAAGACAAATGTGATGGGGACACTGAACATGCTAGGACTGGCAAAGAGGGTTGGTGCGCGGTTCTTGTTAACGAGCACAAGCGAGGTGTATGGTGACCCACTGCAACACCCCCAGGTTGAGTCTTACTGGGGCAACGTCAACCCCATTGGTGAGTCAACTCAGATCCTCTCCTTCAACCTTCTACTTCCAAAGTTGAGAAACTACTGATTTCGGGTTTTGTGTAGGCGTTCGGAGCTGTTATGATGAGGGAAAGCGTACCGCCGAGACCTTAACCATGGACTACCACAGAGGCGCTGGCATTGAGGTCCTTTATATAGAACGATACATACATACACTCATATATATATATATAAAGTCCATTACCCTGCACATATATAATATCAAAAGGGATGAAGTGAAAATTATTTTAATTACTTTGTTACAGGTGAGGATTGCTAGGATTTTTAACACTTATGGACCTCGAATGTGCATTGATGATGGGCGTGTTGTTAGCAATTTTGTTGCTCAGGTATGCATTTTCTTCTTATTGTTTTACCTCGTCTTAATCATATATGGATGTTTAACTTTTTTACTACCATTACTTGTCAATTTACATTTTAATTATATGATTATGTAGGCATTAAGGAAGCAGCCATTGACTGTTTATGGGGATGGGAAGCAAACAAGGAGTTTCCAATACGTTTCTGACTTGGTTAGGCCTTTCTTCTTCATGTTTAGAACATCCAAATTGAACATTATTTCTCATTAATTATATCTCTATATATATACAAACATATATATTAAATATAAGCAATCTTGGTATTATTGTTAGGAAATTGATTCTTGAGTTGAGAGGACTTCAGCCAAAGTTCAAGCAGAAGTGCATAACCACTTGCATTTGGTTGAAGTTCTCGGCATATATAACATTGCCATTATAATCATCGTCTTTACTTTAATCCCATATAAATAGAGTCGGCTAAATTCGTAGTACATATAATATTCTGTTGTACCTACCTAATGAATAGGTGGAGGGTTTGATGCGGTTGATGGAAGGGGAACATGTTGGTCCTTTCAATCTGGGCAACCCGGGAGAGTTCACCATGCTTGAACTTGCTCAGGTAAATTTGTTCATTTATTCCTAAATTTTTTCATCTCCGCAGTCTATACATATCAGAATCCAAAAATGAAAATTAGTTTGGAGAAAATTATATATTTCAAACCATGTAGCTTGTATCTAACATGTCGTATTTCGACGACGACAACAGATGGAACAACAGCTCAATTTAGCTCCGATCAATAAAGTTTCATATCAAGTATTGGCATGATTCATTATTTTTCTTTGTCCTGGATACACATGCAATATTACCTCCTCCTTTTTTATTATTATTGTAATACAGTTCAATTAAATGAAGTATCGTCCAAACTATATATTTGGGGTTGGTTTTAATTATAGTAATCCATATTAATTTTGATCTGTCCTATTCTCCAACATTATTATCTTCAATGTACACAAAATTCATACTAGAATGCTAATTAAAAACATTGTTTGAAAATTTCTATACGTCTGTTTTTTCTCAACACATTTCTTTAGACAAAGACTCCGTTTTTTCTTCTTTATAGATGGTAAGCATTTCTTAGAACATGGAGTGTGAATCAAATCCATATCTGAATTGAAATTGCTGGAATTGGTTTGTACAGGTGGTGCAAGAGACAATTGACCGAAACGCAAAGATAGAGTTCAGGGAAAACACAGAGGATGATCCACACAAGAGAAAGCCAGACATTACAAAAGCTAAAAAGCTACTGGGATGGAAGCCCAAGGTGCCCCTTCGCGAGGGACTTCCTCTCATGGTTTCCGACTTCCGGCAGCGCATTTTTGGTGACGAAAAGGAAGGTGGCGCCATGTCCGCTGAATAGAAACTCATATAAAGCTAATTAGATATATATAAATATATATATATGTGGATGAAAGGAGGAGAAAGAAATAAAGGATCAGGAATAAGAATGATCACTCCAAATCTGTCTTCCCTTCTTCTATGTTGCTTTCTTCAATAATGATGTGTGTCCCTGAAAAGAAAATAAAAGGAGGAAAAACAATAGTAGGATATAGTTTTTTTTAGAGATACATTCATTTTATTTTGTTGCATTTGTACACTGTAATCTTCTTCTTCTTTCTATAATGGATTTTTCTTTAATTTTCTGGTTTCAACATTTTTAGACTAAGATCTTCAATTAGTATCAGTTAGACATACTTGGTATGTGATTGTCCATTGCACGTCATAATTTGGTCTATTTCAGATTTGGATTGGGTAATTTAGGCTTAATTTCTTATTAATATTCTATTGAATTATAATGATTACAAATTTTCTTCACATTTGGATTGGGTTATTTAAACTTGCTATTTATGTTCAAATGTTAGATCAAATTCTATTTCTAATTTAGTGGATTGTAATGAGTCCAAAATTTCTAACTCACCATCCTTACCACATCAACAATGCCCAATAGTGTGAGATTTTTTGAGCAGGCAGCCAAAGTGGAACAAGTCTTCATAATCCTTAGGGGTAAAATTACTTGGGCTTTGGTCTGGGGTTCGATTTCTATTAGGAGCTTACTATAATTTGGGATTACGCCTTCGTTGTCATACTCAGTGACTTACCCGACTCGAGGTGGGGAGGCGCCCTTCCTTTAGTCGTAGCGAAATCTCGAATACCTTAATTATTTAAAAAAAAAAAAAGAGTTCTATGATGAAAGTAGGAAATCAGGATTATGCGACCAAATGAATAAAGAAGGATACAATGATTTGGTCATTTCAATGTGTCGCATTCTGGCTCTCCCATGTGGCATTGCTTTTTTATGTTTTCAATTTTCATATTCGAATCTATGTCCTTGTAAAAAAAAAAAAAAAAGTTGGGTCCAAATTTTATCACAGTACTAAGAATGATCCCTCCTAAAATTATAATTTGTCCTTATAATAACTTAGTAATCAATCATGGACTGAAATAATATCAATAAATTTAAATAAATTACATCAACTACCTTTGAGGTTTTGTCAATATAGATTGAGCTCCCGTTAAATTACATGACCTTCTCTGTTAAATTTTTAATTACTTTTCTGTCCTTATATATATATATATTGTATTTTACTATAATAAACATGTCTGTCAAAGGTAAAATTAAATTTTAAAAGTTACAAAATTGCTAACATAAACATTTTTTCTTCACATTTGGATTGGGTTATTTAAACTCGCTATTTATGTTCAAATGTTAGATCAAATTCTTATTTCTATTTTAGTGGATTATAATGAGTACAAAATTTCTAGCTCACCATCCTTACCACATCAACAATGCCCAGTAGTGTGAAATTTTTTGAGCAGACAGCCAAAGTGGAAGAAGTCTTCGTATCTCCAAGGGTTGGCCTAGTGGTAAAATTACCTGGGCTTGGGTTTGGGGTTCAATTTCTACTAAGAATTTACAATAACTTGGGGTCACACCTCCGCTGTCATACTCAGCGACTTACCCGATTCGAGGTGGGGAGGCGCTCTTTCTGGGTTCTAGAAAATTAGTCGGGGTGAAATCTCGGATACTCAAGTTGTCCAAAAAAAAATAATAATAATAAAAATAAAGGTATACGATGAAAGTAGGAAATCAGGATTATGTGACCAAATGAATAAAGAAGGTGTTGAGGTTGAATTTCGCCGCGGTCTAGTACAACACCGTTTCCTGCAAAATAAGGATGGCAAAGTCAAACACCGGTGTGGTGCTGGCCGTTGACCCTCCGACGATCAAGTTAGCAAGGATTCTCGATAGAGAATTTTAATAGTAATTTGCTTAGTAGGAGTTTTTTTTTGTGTGTACCTTATTCCCGAGTCGTCTTTGTATTTATAGCCACTTCCCTTATTCTTGATAAGGGGTTTTCATCGTCCTTAGCCCATGGAGCCTACCTCGTGGAAATCCTATCCTTAATAAGATTTGAACTTACCCCATGACAAATCCGATCCTAGATACGATTTGTCATCATTCTTATCTAATAGAATGGTTATCCTTAATAACGAGATATTATCGTCTAAGAGTTGGAGAAATCTGGTGGCCGGTCAATATTTAATTCCCTTTTTTGTTAAGTCAAGATAAGCTAGGGTTATTTTTCCCTATCAGTTGCCCCCTGTTTCTGGGTACGTGGTGGACCAAGGAAATACTTTCTATATTCCATTTGTTTCCTTTTTACTACAGGCCCCTTCCATATTGTAGTAGGATTCCTTTACAAGAACTTCACTGTTACTTGAAAAAGAATTTTCTTTCCTATAAATAAATAAATAAATATATATATTTATTTATTTACCTTCCTTTTCTTTTTGGTCTGAAATCCTCCAAACTAGATCCTAACTATGAGTTTATTGTGGATCGTTGTAGATACGTAATTAGGTCAAGTTGTCTCTACCAGGTTATTGGTGTAATTCCAAAGTGGTTTCGTTATTTTCGCGATATCCGATACCTCATCATGTTCGTGCAGAAAACTAACTTGAATACTGAATCTCAATCCGAGGACTCAACCTCTGAAAATGTTGAAGAACTCGATCCTGACTATGCTGATGAATCTGGTGTTGATTACTCCTCAAGACCAAGGACTGCTTTTTCCAAGCAACCTCCTCGTGAAGGAGAATCCTTAATGAAGGATGAGAATTTACAGAGTTGTAGAGTTAAATATTCCATTCCTTCATCTATTCGTCTTCACAAACCCAAACCAGAAGATAGATGTTCTTCTATTCGTTTGGGTGAGGTATGTTTTTTCGAGTCGACTTTTGCTGCGGGCTTGCGTTTTCCGATTCATCCATTTGTAGAAGAAATTCTTTCTCATCTGAAGATAGCTCCTTCTCAAATTGCTCCTAATTCATGGAGAATTATTATAGGCTGTTTGATTGTTTGGGGAAAGTGTGGCAATGGCCGTCTAACAGTAAATCAATTCCTGCATTTTTATTATCCCAAGAAGAAAAAAGACAATTTTTGGTACTTCCAGTGTAGATCAAAGAAGACATTCCTCCTTGTTGCAACCCCTGAAAATAATAAAGGTTGGAAGAGTCGTTTCTTCTTTATTTCCGGTGCATACAGGAAATTTCCAACTATTTGGAATAATTCAGATCCAACAGGTAAGATTTATATGTATATAGTTTCCAAATTATTATTATTATTATTATATTTTTTTTTTTTGCACCCGAGGGAATAGTACCCTCGGGTACTGTTCATGAATAGGATTATTATTATTATTATTATTATTTATTTATTTATTTATTTTTTTAAGTGCAACTTATTATTCTTTTTCCTAGAATTTAAGGACAAACCAACCCTCTCCATTCCAGAAGCCGAGCATGTTGGTAATGCCTCTTCTTACCCAGTAAAAACCTTTAGCGATCTCATAACTGATGAGGCTTTAGATTTGTATGTACGAGCTCATAGCTCAAAGGAAATCTCCACCCACTTAGAGAAAGGTAAGAAAAACAAACATACTTATTTGTGAACTTATTGATTTTTAGTTAATATCTCATTAAGTATTTCCCTTATTACTTTTTATGCAGGCAAGAAGCTCAGTAAAAGACTCCTAGCCCAAGTCCGGTCAAGTAATCTCCCTTCTACTCCTGCTTCCAAAAAATTACGAAGGGTAGGAGAAGGGAATCATGGTACATCCGCAAGCCCTGGAGTGTTATCAGGTCCTACTCTTGTACCTCTAGGTTTCAGCGGATTTGGTGGGGTTCCTACTAGTTTCGAAAGTTTTTGTTCAGTATCAACCAACCAAGCCTTTTCCCACGGGGAATCGATTCTCGATGACGCTAATGTCGCGAATGACAGGTTACATAAAATGGTAGTAAAAGACGACACTGCCAGATTGCAGAGTCTGTCAGCATCTGAGCTTTCAAAGAAATTTCTTCATCTAATCAGCCAGGTGAGATTTTACCCTTATTATGCGCATCTCTTTTTTTTTTCGTTTATTTATTTATTTATTTTTAACTGTTCGCCACTATTTATTTATTTATAGGGCACTACATACTCTGTTGTTATCGCCAAAGAATACGAGAAGCTTTCCTTAGAGATGGCTTCCCTCAAGGCTAAATATGAAGATGTTACTTCTACACTTAAAATAAAAGAAGATGACTTGACTAATGCAAAATTAAACTTTCAAGATGAGAAAGTGAAACTTACCAAAGAATACTCTGATAAGCTGGAATTCGAGAAGCTAGCTGCTGTGGAGAGTTTTAAAAATTCTGATGAATTCAAGGTGCTCATAGGCAAGGCTTGCTGTGATGGTTTTGACCGGTTCAAAGCTCTTGTCGGCAAAGATCGTCCAGACATAGACTTTTCTAGGTATGACGTTCTAAGTGAGAGCGAAGAGGAAGATTGAATTCCATAGTATTAGTCATATATATATATATATATATATATATATATATATATACACATATATTAGGTTTTTTGATTTCTCAGTATGTTGTTCCTTTAAAACTTTTCAGAATATCTCTGAATCCAGAGAATAGTTGCTCTACTTTTGTCTTTCATGGTATTGTTTCATACTTGTTGTTTCCTTATACAGAACTCATTTTACTTTCCCAGGCTTCACTCAGCCCGTCCTTCTTTCGAAGGAACATATTTTTATGAGTTTCACCCAGCTCGTCCCTTTAGTAAGGAAAAGTCACTTATTTCTTTTAATAAAGAAGGGGACTTAATGTGTCACTAGTCCTTATGTGACTTATAAAATTCAGTAGAAACACGTGCAATAAATACGAATAACCATTTTATTAAAGACCTATCGAAAATAATAATCGATAGTTGAATATTAGCATCCGTTACACACTGGTCTGCTTTATTGTAGCTAAAAACATTCTATCACTTTTAAAAGTGAGATAATAAAATAAAACACAGCCTGGCATGAGTACCTACTGGTAATATTTCCTCAAATGTTCTGCATTCCACGGGTGGGGAAGCTGGCTCCCACCAGGTGACTCTAACCAGTATGCCCCCGGTCTGTTGCTTTTGGTTACTCGATAAGGGCCCTCCCAATTGGGAGCTAACTTTCCTTCCCCCTTTTCCTTAGTAGCCGGGGTAACCTCGCGAAGCACCAGGTCTCCTGGCTCGAACCTCCTTGGCTTGACTCGGGCATTGTAGTACTTGGATATCATCCGTTGGTAAGCCGCAACCTTGACCTGGGCCTGCTCCCTTTTCTCTTCTACCAGGTCTAGGTTTAATCGTAGTTCCACTCCGTTCTGTTGAGGTTCAAAATACTTGGTTCTGAAAGTAGCAACCTTTGTTTCTACCGGGATCACAGCTTCACTTCCAAAAGCTAACCCAAAAGGGGTCTCCCCAGTAGGGGTTCTTACGGTAGTGCGATAGGCCCATAAAACTCCGGGTAGTTGTTCAGGCCACAAGCCCTTAGCCTTTTCTGGGCGCGTCTTGATCATCTTCAATATTGTCCTATTCGTGACTTCAACTTGCCCATTGGCTTGGGGATGGGCAGGAGAGGAGAAATGAACTTTGATCCCAAGTTCATTACAAAAATCGAGGAACTGCTCACTTTCAAACTGCTTCCCATTATCGGTCACAATTACCCTTGGTGCTCCGAACCTGCAGATTATTGTCTTCCAGAAAAACTTTTTTACTTCATTCGCTCCAATATGAGCTAATGGCTCAGCTTCTACCCATTTGGTGAAATAATCGATAGCCACAATTACGTATTTAGTTTGTCCCTTCCCTTGGGGTAAGGGGCCGATGAGGTCTGTCCCCCATTGGGCAAAAGGCCACGGCCCTGTAAGAGGGGTTAACTTTTCTGCTGGTTGTTTTGGGACATTGGCGAATCTTTAACACTTGTCACATTTCTTCACAAACTCAAGTGCATCTGTCCTCATAGTAGGCCAAAAGTATCCTTGTCGAATAGCTTTATACGCTAGTGATCTGCCCCCAACATGATTTCCACAAAGGCCTTCATGTATGTCCTTTAGAATGTAATTTGCCTCATCAATGGAGACACAACGCAAGTAGGGTAGAGAAAATCCCTTCTTGTAGAGAACCCCATCAACGAGGGAATATTTTGCCGCATGCATCCTAATCTTTCGTGCTTCCATGCGGTCCTGGGGTAGTTCTTCGTTCTCAATGTACCTGATAATGGGTTCTGCCCACTCCATGCCATGGGCCACCTGGTGTATTTTCTGTGGCCAATCCCAGACCGTGCTAGGCTCATCCAAATATCCCACGGGTATGGCTTTATCTTCCTCTGTGGTTGCCAGTCGAGCCAGGGCGTCTGCCTGCGCATTCTCTTCTCGGGGAATCCGGTGAATAAAAAACTTCTTAAAAAAACCCTTAATATCCTCTATCTTATGTAAATAGGTCTTCATCTTCTCATCCTTGGCTTCATATTCCCCCTGGACTTGTCCAGTTATTAGTTGAGAGTCAGTATATGCTACTAGTCGTTCAACTTCCAAAGCTTTCGCCATCCTGAGGCCTGCTAAGAGGGCTTTATACTCTGCCTCATTGTTGGTTGCTTTAAAACCAAACCTGAGTGCATATTTGATGCATTCCCCATTTGGGGATATAATTACTAGCCCTGCCCCACTTGCACGGGCGTTGACAGACCCATCCACATATAACGTCCAAGTAGATTCGGCTTCTTCCTGCTTATCTGCAGCATGCTCGGGCCCATCTTCTGGTGTGAATTCCGCTATAACATCTGCCAGTACCTGGGCTTTTAAGGCCGTTCGGGGTTTGTATTGGATATCGAACTCTCCAAGTTCTACCGACCACTTCATGAGTCGCCCTGAAGTATCAGGTTTGCGGAGAACCTGCCTAAGTGGTTGGTCCGTCAATACTATTATTGTATGAGCTTGGAAGTAAGGCCTGAGTTTCCTCGCGGAGATAACTAGAGCAAATGCCAACTTTTCTATCCTTGGGTACCTTTCTTCCGCCCCCCTGAATGCACGACTAATATAATATACCGGTTTCTGGTTTCCATCCTCTTCGCGGACCAAGGCTGAGCTTACTGCCGACGGAGAAACTGCCAAGTACAAATACAACTGTTCTCCTTGTATCGCCCGCGACAATAATGGTGGTGAAGTGAGATACTCCTTTAGCTCTGTAAAAGCTTGCTCGCACTCAGGGGTCCATGAAAAAGCTTTCCTGAGCACACGGAAAAAAGGCAAAAACCTATCGGTCGCCCTGGAAATCAACCTGTTCAGAGCTGCGATCCTTCCTGTCAATCTTTGAAGTTCCTTGGTCGATGTTGGAGACTGCATGTTGAGAATCGCCTGGACCTTCTCAGGGTTAGCTTCTATCAATCTTCTACTTACCATGTAACCGAGGAATTTCCCAGAGGAGACTCCGAAGGCACATTTACTTGGGTTGAGCTTCATCTGGTGTTTCCTGAGGACTTGGAACGTTTCCTGTAGATCAACCAGATGGTCTTGAGCTTTCAAGTTTTTTACCAACATGTCATCCACATACACTTCCATATTCCTTCCGATTTGGTCCTTAAACATCAGGTTTACTAGCCGCTGATATGTTGCACTAGCATTTTTTAGCCCAAAAGGCATCACCTTATAGCAATATAAACCTCTGTCCGTGATGAAGGAGGTTTTATCTCTGTCTGGCGTGTGCATTGAGATTTGGTTATACCTTGAGTATGCATCCATAAAACTGAGCAGCTCATGGCCAGCTGTCCCTTCTACCAACATATCAATTCTTGGCAAAGGGAAACTGTCTTTGGGGCACGCCTTATTTAAATCCGTAAAGTCTACACACAACCTCCATTTTCCATTGGCCTTTTTTACCAAAACAACATTGGCCAACCAGTCGGGATAATGAACCTCCTAGATGAAATCAGCTTTCATAAGCTTATTCACCTCTTCTGATATAGCCATGTTCCTTTCCGCGACAAATGTTCTTCGATTTTGCCTGATAGGTTTGACTGTAGGATCTGTGTTTAATCGATGCTCAATCGTAGTTGGATTAATACCGGGCATGTCTTCATGTGACCAAGCGAATACATCTTGATTATATCTGAGGAACTGTATAAGAATTCTGAGGGGAGCAGAGACCCTATCTTCACCTTTTTTGTTATGTCAGTGTCATTCAAGCATATCTCCACCAAGTCCTCGATTGGCTTAGCCCGGTCTTGCTCATTCTCTTCAACTTTATCGACAATCAAAGCCTCCTGCTGTCTCTTTTCTTTGAGAGAGGCAACGTAGCATTCTCTGGCAATGGACTGATCTTCTCTTAGTTCGCCCACGCCATGCTCGGTAGGGAAGCGCATTAATAGGTGATAAGTCGAAGTGATAGCCTTCATCGAATTTAAGGTCGCTCTTCCTAGGATGACATTGTAAGCAGATGGACAATCCACCACCAGGAAGTCGACCATGACAGTGACTTGTTTTGGGCTGGTTCCTGCAGTAACAGGAAGGATGACTGCTCCTAGAAGATAGACTTTGTCTCCCGTGAATCCCACCAATGGTGATCTGGTAGGTCTGAGTTTCTCCTTACCAATCTTCATCTTGCTGAATGCATCAAGAAAAATGATATCAGCTGAACTTCCATTATCTACCAAGATTCGCCGAGTATTATAGTTAGCGATCATCATGGTGACGACAAGAGGGTCGTCATGAGTTTGCTGCACATCTTTCATGTCTTCATCTGAGAATGTAATAACTGGATCACCTAAACGAGGCATCTTTCGATATTGAATCTGTACTCCCACTTCGCACACCTCAGATGAGCTTCGCATTCTCCTTGCATAGGCCTTACGGGCTGAGCTCGATTCTCCACCTCCTGCACACCCCCCGGCTATGACCCTGATCTCTCCTATTGGTTGTTGATCAGGAGGGTGGTTATCTCGGTCTGCTCTTAGTGGGTTAATGTCGGTTCTGTCATTCCCCACAATAAATTTTCGCATGTGCCCCCTTCGGATCAGAGTCTCAATTTGATCTTTAAAGTCGAAGCAATCCTCTGTAGCATGCCCATGGTCTTTATGGAACCTGCAATACTTATCACGAGGTCTCCTTACCGGATCTGACTTCAACTTCGGTGGCCACTTCAGATATGGTTCATCCTGGATCTATAGGAAAACTTGATCTATCGGCATATTTAAAGGAGTGTAATTTGTATACCTCTCCGTGTTCTTATAGCGAGATGCCCTTTCATTCTGGTTGACCATGGGTTTCTTATACTTGGTTTCCTTTTTATCTCTGATCGTCAGGGCCGGCCTTTTCTTGTCTGACTTCTTATCCTCCCCTTCTTTTCCCTTTCTCGCAATCATTGCATCTTCAGCATTCATATGTCTTTTAGCTCGAACCAATAACTCGGCCATGTTGGTAGGAGGTTCCTCTGATAAAGAGAAGAGAAATCTTAAGGTTTGAAGTCCTCCCATGAAGGCGGCTAGGGCCACCTTGTCATCCGCTTCCTCCACCTGTAACATCTCCGTGTTAAAACGACTAATGTAATCTCGCAGTGACTCTCCCTTCTGTTGCTTCACAGTAAAGAGGTGGGTAGCCGGCCTTCTATGCCTCTAGCCAGCAATGAAATGGCCCACAAAGCCCTTACTCAATTCTTCAAAGGTTTCGATGGTTCCTGGCTTTAGTTTGTTGAACCATACCCGTACTGATCCTTTAAGAGTCGTTGGGAAAGCCTTGCACATGATCTCATCCGGCATCGCGTGTAGGTGCATAAGCGCCTGAAAAGTCTCCAAGTGGTCGAGGGGATCTTTAGTTCCGTCGAAACTCTCAATTGTGGGCATTCTAAATTTGCTTGGCAAAGGGCATTTCATAACCGAGGGGCTGAATGGCAAATTGGTTTTCTGCACCAAACCATCTATGGCTGCAATGCCTTTTCCCTCCATGGCCTGCATCACACCCTCCATCTTTGCCTTGAGATCCTGCATCTCTAGGTCAACGTGGGAAATTTCTTCGGTCTTTTCAATGACAGTCGTGTCTTCATGGGGTCGGGAACTCTGTGGAAAAAAGGGTTGGATCACCTCTCTATGTCGGTTTCCCACCTGGCTTTGTTCAACTTCGGTCTCATGTCGGGGAGGATAAGTATCATGCTCTTCCAGATTCCCATTACCCCTGTTTAGATTCGAGAGGTCTTGGCGTGGCAAGCTCTGTTGAACCGGTGGAACAAGGTGTTACAGGAGTGCTGCATTTTGTTGGATCAACTGGTCCATACCCTGATTCAGAGTTTGGACCTGCAGTTCCAAAGCTGCAAATCGTGTCTGGTCATTTGGGACGTTTAGATTTTCACCCGACTCTTCCCTTTGACCAGATCCCTGCGACGGTGTTCCTTCGGTAACCATACCGGACCGCAAACGTCTATACCCAACGAGTAATAAATCGATTCAAGGGAATCGCTGTTCCCACAGACGGCGCCAACTGTTGAGGTTGAATTTCGCCGCGGTCTAGTACGACACCGTTTCCTGCAAAATAAGGATGGCAAAGTCAAACACTGGTGTGGTGCCGGCCGTTGACCCTCCGACGATCAAGTTAGCAAGGATTCTCAATAGAGAATTTTAATAGTAATTTGCTTAGTAGGAGTTTTTTTTGTGTGTACCTTATTCCCGAGTCGTCTTTGTATTTATAGCCACTTCCCTTATTCTTGATAAGGGGGTTTCATCGTCCTTAGCCCATGGAGCCTACCTCGTGGAAATCCTATCCTTGATAAGATTTGAACTTACCCCATGACAAATCTTATCCTAGATACGATTTGTCATCATTCTTATCTAATAGAATGACTATCCTTAATAACGAGATATTATCGTCTAAGAGTTAGAGAAATCTGGTGGCCGGTCAATATTTAATTCCTTTTTTTGTTAAGTCAAGATAGGCTAGGGTTATTTTTCCCTATCAGAAGGATACAATGATTTGGTCATTTCAATGTGTCGCATTCTGGCTCTCCCATGTGGCATTGCTCTTTTTATGTTTTCAATTTTCATATTCGAATCTGTCATTGTAAAAAAAAAAAAAATTGGGTCCAAATTTTATCACTGTACTATGAATAATCCCTCTTAAAATTATAATTTGTCCTTATAATAACTTAGTAATCAATCATGGACTGAAATAATATCAATAAATTTGAATAAATTACATTGACTACCTTTGAGGTTTTGTCAATATAAATTGACCTCCTTTCTTATTTGTTAAATTACACGACCTTCTCTGTCACATTTGTATTTACTTTTCTATCCTATTGTATTTTACTGTAATAAACATGTCTGTCAAAGGTAAAATTAAATTTTAAAAGTTACAAAATTGCTAACATAAACATTTTTTCTTCATATTTGGATTGGGTTATTTAAACTCGCTATTTATGTTCAAATGTTAGATCAAATTCTTATTTATATTTTAGTGGATTATAATGAGTACAAAATTTCTAGCTCACCATCCTTACCACATCAACAATGCCCAGTAGTGTGAGATTTTTTGAGCAGACAGCCAAAGTGGAAGAAGTCTTCGTATCTCCAAGGGTTGGCCTAGTGGTAAAATTACCTAGGCTTGGGTTTGGGGTTCAATTTCTACTAAGAATTTACAATAACTTGGGGTCACACCTCCGCTGTCATACTCAGTGACTTACCTGATTCGAGGTGGGGAGGCACTCTTTTTGGGTTCTAGAAAATTAGTCGGGGTGAAATCTCAGATACTCAAGTTGTCCAAAAAAAAATAATAATAATAAAAATAAAGATATATGATGAAAGTAGGAAATCAGCATTATGTGACCAAATGAATAAAGAAGGATACAATGATTTGGTCATTTCAATGTGTCGCATTCTGGCTCTCCCATGTGGCATTGCTCTTTTTATGTTTTCAATTTTCATATTCGAATCTGTCCATGTAAAAAAAAAAAAAAATTGGGTCCAAATTTTATCACTGTACTAAGAATAATCCCTCCTAAAATTATAATTTGTCCTTATAATAACTTAGTAATCAATCATGGACTGAAATAATATCAATAAATTTGAATAAATTACATTGACTACCTTTAAGGTTTTGTCAATATAAATTGACCTCCTTTCTTATTTGTTAAATTACACGACCTTCTCTGTCACATTTGTATTTACTTTTCTATCCTATTGTATTTTATTGTAATAAACTTGTCTGTCAAAGGTAAAAATAAATTTTAAAAGTTACAAAATTGCTAACATCGATATTTTTGTATTGATCATTAACGAATGAGAGGTCTTTAAAGGAAGGTAATTGTAATTTGACAAACAAGAGGGTGTCAGTGTTTATCGACAAAGTATCAGGAAAGTTCAATGTAATTTATCCAAATTTTTTTGTAATTTTACCGAATTTGAATTATTTAGTACATATTTAGCTTTGTTGCAACAATTATGCTACCTGTGGTAAAGAAAGAGAAATTGGAAAAGGATGGGATGAGAGAGGCAGCATCTCTTTGGATCCCTTCCCATTCAAAGTAAAGGAAGAGGAGAGGGAAAATTGAATAGATGTTAAATTAATTTGAAATGAGGAGAGGGAAAATTGAATAGAAGTTAAATTAATTTGAAATAGCTTTCTTGCTCCTACTTTAATGTGTTAGTTTATATATTTAAGAGTTAAAAGACTATAATAACAAAATAATAATAGTATCTATTGTTGGCAAGGTAACTAAGGTATACTCAGTAAAGCTCGACTGATGTAGCAGATAGTGAACTGATTATCACCAATATAATGTTTAAATTCAAGGTTATAGCCCTTCTTAACACCGACTGATTTTAGGAGAACTGATGAAAACTATTATCAGGTCTAACTTTTTCTTGTAAAGTTGTAAAATTTGTGTTGATTGTCAAAAGGGTTTTGGAGATGCAATATTTATAGCAATTTTTTAAAAAATATTTTTTCGATTATTACATAATATAAATTTTACTTAGTTACAATAAATTACTGTGTTACCGGACCTGGTATATTTATTATTATTATTATTTTATTTTTTTGTAAGAATTCCTTTTAGAGAAAAGGGATTAGTCAGTTACACCTTGTAACTTTTCAATAGCAAAAAAATAATCAAAATATATATTTTTATTTTGTATTTATTCAGAAGCGAAATAATCCCCATATAAATTATTGTGCTTCACTTGCACGCGAACTATCCACCAGACCATCAACAAGCGTTGGGTTGGGCCTACATTGGGCTTACATATGGGCTCTTTGACTAACTAGTTTTCACACCCTACACATTTCTATGTATATACTGCTAAGTTTTCAGCCTTCCGCAGTAGGAGAAGATTTCATTTCATACGCAGTCCAGCAGAACCTCTCTCGCCAGTTTAGCCCTAGGAGGCTTGAATCAGGTTCGTCACTTTATCTACTCGATTCTTCCATGGAAATACTATTCTTGTTTCTGATTTCTTTCGATCGATTCCTGTCTTATGGTTTACTTTCCATTTATTGATTCTTTTATGTATCATATTTTATATATTTTGTAACAATCGGTATTGGTATTCCGGTGTTTGTTTTTATCTTGTTTTCTTGAATTATATATATTAATATACACACACAAATTCATACAAATTTACAGACTCACGGGTAAGCCATGTTACTTAATTTGAAGCATCATCACCTAGCTTAAGTGTAGTCAAGTATATTGAGTTGTTATCTTGATTTGATTTGAGTTGATGGCCGTTGGATTGGATATCGGTCTGTTCCTTTGTTGTGTAAAATAGATAGATCTGGGAAGCCATGAATGTTGAATTTCTCATAATAGATAGCGTCCACTGGCTCTCTTTTGTTTTTCGGAAATTTGAGTATTTAAAAGGGGGGGACATGGGATGTTCTGCCATCTTAGCACAGTTCTGTTCTATACTGAACCCTTTAAAGACATTTTCTTATTAGGGTTTGGAAGGCAAGGGCAGTTTCAGTTGGTTCAAAAATACAATGTAATTTTGGGATATTGAAGAATAATGATACCACTTTCAACAAATTTTGATGCGATTCATTAGGTTATTTTAAATGGTTGAACAGATTTAAGTTGAGTATAATGACTATTCTATATGAGATTAATAGCTGTGCTATTGAATGTACTAATGGTCCAACGATTTGACTTTCATGAAATGATTGGAGTTAGAGCTGCATTCCATAATTTGGCATATGTTAGTGCTCTCTTTATCGCTTTCAATATGGTGATTTTCACTTTGTTAAAGAATAGGGTTATCTACACTTCCACCCTGTGAACTAAAAGGGTAGTAGTAGTTTGACCTCTTGAACTTTCAATTATTATAATTTGCTCCCTTTAACTTTTTAGGATTTCACTTTCTTTTCTCTATTGATAGCCCATCAATGAAAACAATGGGAATGTGCATTTGTCCAGCTTCTGACGTGTTTAAATTACTAAATGGACCAATTTGCCATTCCTCTTAATTTTTGTAGGAGTTTACCAATGCCATTGTACTTTTTCATCTCTCTCTACTAGTCCCTCCATTGAAGCTGCACTAGTGGTGGGCGTGTCATTATGAAGGCCTTTGTATTGGGCTTTTTGAAGATTATGCTCGTGATAGAGGCTCCTAAGATCATAATTAATTTGGTGAAAAAGATATATATTTTTTATTGCAAATGAATAATTTAATAGTTAGAGAGTATTTACATATCCTTTAATTAAGTTACTTCTCCTAAACGTTTAAGGGGCAAATTGGTGCATTGCTTAGAGGAGTCAAAGTGAATAGAGCCACAAATCAGGGATGCAAATTTAATTCACCCGGAAATGGTGATTCTCGCCTAGTGATGGATTTATTTGATTTTTAACTAATACGAATATGAAGTGTTAAGAACTTAAGAAAAGCATATTTTCTTAGTCAAAACCTTAAGATTCAATTGTACAATCCCATAGCAAGTAATGAATCTCTGATCTCATCATTAACCTGGTTTGTAATTTGTTAGTTCGAATTAGTAACATGAATACACTTTAGTGGAACATTCCCTCAATTTTTACTTAATAATGGGGATGTTCTTAAATTTTTTTTATATAGTAATTGTTTATTATAATGGATTCAAGTTATGACTGCTTACCGTCTATGCTTTCAAATTGTCGACTGATTTAGTTATCAAGGAATGTTCTTCGATAAAGATACACCTCTATCATAATTTAGACACATCATTGGCCTTTTTTCAAGAACATTGAAAGGTAAAGTCACTTTCAGTCTTAATTAAGTTTGACTAGAAGTTTATGCATTGTAATAAGTGTTCAGTACTTGGGTTTGGATTAAATTATTAGCTTCTACCAGTGATTTGAACTTTTTGGTATATGGACGTGTGATTTTAATGCAATATATGATTTTATTTACTTCACTAGTTTCTGTCAGCATGAACAAAGCAAGCTAGCTAAGGTCTTTAACATGTATCTTTCTCTCCCTCCCTCCCTCTAAATATTCATTTTTCCCCATTGTACTGAATATTGTAAATGGCACTGTTTTCTTATGTAGGAGTGCAAATCAACTCAACTAGTGTGAAGATGTCTCAAAAAGGATTGATGGAGCAGGATTTAAGCCAGCTGGATGTGACCCAGTTACATCCGCTCTCACCTGAAGTTATTTCTCGTCAGGCTACAATAAATATTGGTAATTTTATCATACGTTATGTATGTTATGGCTTCATGATTTTATAATCTTAATGTCCTCATTAACATCAAATTGGTGAAGGTTAAGATCTATTATTTTATATTTGATACTGATGCGTTAGCTCAAACTATATTTTATCAGGCACAATTGGTCACGTGGCACATGGTAAGTCAACAGTGGTAAAAGCGATATCTGGCGTTCAGGTGACTACTTTTTGCTCTTACTTTTTTATATTGCTTATTGCAGTGCATTTCTTCTATGAGCACACACATTAATGTACTTGTACTTATGACCAGCTTGTCACTTAAATTTATGGATTTATTAAAGCCACCACTAACTTTGGTGATGATTCTCACTTTCCTTTATTTATTCATTTATTGCAATTATGTGATAGAAGATGTTATAAAGACATGCTGCTGTACTTTTGAAGGGGAAGAGGACAAGAAGTACACTCTTACCATGAATAAAGTTTTAGGGAATAAGGAGAATAGTGGACAAAGGACAACTGAAGTGAGATTCAAATGATGATGATGTTAATTTATTAAGAGTCGAATAACTAGTTACTATTGATGAAGTGCTAATATCATATAGCTTGATAACTCACATTCATTTGAAAAGGACACGAATTACCATTTTTCCTCAATCCAAATCACTTCAGTTGAATAACTACCTGACATGTCTTCCTTATTAGTACTTCAATTTCTATTTACAAAAGGGCTATCCTGTCAAAAAATCAGGAGATTTATATTTGGGCAGCTTTTATTTATTTCATGCGATCTCGCGACTTTCAATCCGGTTAAAGCAAGTACCTTCTGTTTCTTATTCAACGTAGTACGTCCATATCTACTTTAGTTGAACACTGTCTGTTGGTATTGGATGTTCAATAAAATTAATGCTCTGAGTGCTTACTTCTTGCATAAGGAGGCAGCAAAGTAGTGTTGACCTTCAGTTGTTTTGTTAAGTGTTTACATGCATAAATAGTAGTTTCTCTGATGTTTTAATATTATTTGCAGACTGTTCGTTTTAAAAATGAACTTGAGCGCAACATTACTATTAAGCTTGGATATGCAAATGCAAAGATATACAAATGTGAAGATGAACGGTGCCCTCGACCCATGTGCTACAAGTATGTCTTTCTTCAAAAACATGTTAATTATTTAACAGCATCCTTGGGTTTTAGTGTAAATTACAAAATGTTTCTGCAGAGCTTATGGAAGCGGAAAGGAAGATAGTCCGTTATGTGATGTGCCTGGATTTGAAAAGTGCAGGATGAAACTACTGAGACATGTGTCTTTTGTAGATTGCCCAGTAAGATTTTTATTACCTAAAAAATTCCCTTTGTATGCAGACTATATAATTTTTTTTGATGGATTCAACCATTTATACTCCCTAAAAAAAACCATTTTATTATTTTGCGTTGCCAATGTATTGATAAACTCCAAATATAACATTATATTCTATTATACTCCCTTAATTCTATTATGGATGGATCATACGTCATAAGAAATCATGCTGTTAAGCTGTAAATTATATGATAGTTATTTGAGATAGACACCCTTTGGCATTTTTGGATCCTACACCTCCCTTTTAACCTACAAGTACTGTCTATATCCCCAAGAGTGAGTGGCTACAACTGTGTATGTTTGTGCTGCCTGTAAAAGAGGGCATAGGTTGTTCAAACCTTTCAAATGCTACTATTCAATCTTTATGGGTTTTTTTTTTTTTGTGGTCTTGGAGAAATAATATTGTCATCCAATATGTTTTTTATTTCTATAAAGCTTGGATGGCATTATATATATATATATATATAAGAAAAATAAAGCTCAGATGCCTTCTAAAAGGTTTCTGGAGAAATTAGGCACTTATTATTCGCCTACAATGCTAAATTCTGCTGTAAGCCTGTAACACCACTAATTTAATGCTCAACATCTTTGAATTTCTCATTTAGCCTGATGTTCCTTTTTGTCCTTTCCTCCTATAGGGGCATGACATTCTCATGGCTACCATGCTCAATGGTGCTGCAATAATGGATGGAGCTTTACTTCTAATAGCTGCTAATGAGACCTGCCCCCAACCGCAGACTGCTGAGCATCTTGTTGCTGTTGAAATTATAGGACTTAAACATATAATTATCCTTCAAAATAAAGTTGATCTGGTGCAGCAAAATTTAGCCATCAATCAGAATGATGCAATCCAAAAATTTATCCAGGTCAGTTGCTTTTGAATGTCAGGACAAAAAAATATTTCTTCATTATCAATTTTATAGCCTAAAACTGAAACTTTTGACTTTCGCCTTGCAGAAAACTGTTGCTGAAGGTGCACCAGTGGTACCAATTTCTGCTCAGTTAAAATATAATATTGATGTTGTGTGTGAGTATATTGTGAAAAAGATACCTGTTCCAGAGAGGAATTTTGTCTCGCCACCTAATATGATCGTAATCCGATCCTTTGATGTCAATAAGCCTGGTTCGGAGGTCGAGGAAATAAAAGGCGGTGTTGCTGGGGGAAGCATCCTCAGGGTATGTTTGCTCTTTTATTACTCTAAAGACATGTAAAACACTGCACAGAGGGGCGGAGCTATGTGGGGACATCACTCCCCACCCCCCCAAAATTTATAAAAAATCTCAATTTGAGACTTTTACTTCTTATCTTTAGAAGTCCACATTTAAAGGGATGTTAAATAATTCCAAATATAGTTCCTATCTCTATTATTTTCTTATTTTATAAAATACTCTAATTAATATATAAATATTCTTATTTAGATCTACTTTCCAAAAAATTTAATGTCAAGAAAAGATCATATTGTAAAATTTATTTTCACATTACTAATTTGGCCCCTGCAAATAAGAATTACTGGGCCCATCCCTGACTGCACATGAAGGCCATAAGTACAATTTGTGCTGTTTGTTTACATATGGGTTCTGCTGTGCGTGTATTCCACTTGAGACAAGTGCAAAAAAATTCATATGGCATTACTAAGAAAGTTTTTCTTTTTATTCTCTCCTCTGGGAAACAGAATAGTTTCTCTTTAGAATAAAAAATAATAATAATTGCGATGAAAAACCTTTTGTTTTGAAGTCATCAGACAAAACTGGGTGTAGATAATTATTAATGATAACCGCCAGATTTCATTGCAAAATTGGAATTATTTGCAGCGAAATATATTTCTTCTCAAATCGGTAATTTATTTCAACAAAACATCTTGTCACAGAAACCTTAAAACCTCCATTGCTATTGAAGACCGATTGTACCTAATGAGAATAATATGTTTATGCTTACTGTGACAATATGTCTGCAAAAAGTAAATCACAATATTTTAATTCGTTAATTTTTTTCTTTGATAAAAACTCGGTCATCTCATGAAAACACATGACAATTATTTGCAACGAAATATTATGTAGCAAAGAATCTCGGTGTCTCACCTTCTACAAAGAAATTGATTTGTTGCATTTTTTTTTCCTTCTGAAATTCTTTTGCCACTTCTACAAATTTTTTTTTGGATTTTACTTCTACAAATTTTCCCTCCTTATTTGAATAACCTGTTGATACAAGTAGATATGTTTTATTATCCATAACGTGATATGTAAATATTTTTATTCACTAATTTCAAATAAAATAGTTGTTTTACTACTTACAAAGATGTTCATAATGTATGCCATTTCATAAAACAAATAGTAAGACAAGATAAAACATCTGTATCTGTGGTTTTTCAAATATCTATCGTTACCATTATATGTCAGTCATTTTGTCTCATTTTGATTCAAGGTATTTAGCTCGCCGCAGAATGACTATTTATAGTGAGGAATGTTGTAGGAAACCTCTTCTATTGTAATAAATATGCCATTTTCTGCTTTTATTATGTTATCTTATTGTGCTGTTCATCTCTGGCATACCAGGTGTACAAGTATAACCAAATTGTGTTTGCCACAAACATTTTGTAACGATTAAGAAGGAATGTTGTGTTGCTTCTCAAGGCTAAAATGATATCTTAGGTCTACATTATATCCTATAAATGAGATTGGATAACTAGAAAAATATAAGTCTGCGAACTTAATTACTAACTTCATGTTATTGAAGACAGCTGACCTCTATTCCACTAATTTGGAACATCACATCTTCACCACCCTTGTGTATGTCTTTACATTGAGCCAGCAGTTAAATAAGGCCTCATCAATCTGTTCCTTGATGAAAGAATCTGCAATTTTTGTGCAAGATAGTTTTTGGAACTTAAGATCTTAATATTCTATGCATGATGAATGACTTGGGCAAATTTGTTTTATGCAGGGTGTTTTAAAGGTAAATCAGTTCATTGAAATTCGGCCTGGGATTGTAGTAAGAGATGAAAGTGGCAATGTCAAATGCACCCCGATCTATACTAGAATAGTTTCTTTATATGCTGAGCAAAATGAGCTGCAGTTTGCAGTCCCAGGGGGTTTAATTGGGGTTGGCACTACTATGGACCCCACTTTGACTCGTGCTGATAGATTGGTCGGTCAGGTTCTTGGGGAGGTTGGGTCACTGCCTGAAGTTTATATCGAACTGGAGGTAATAGATTAAAATGCTTTTCTGCCACAGACTATTTGAACTGATTAAACATAGTTTTGACAATTCTTTTCTCATGGGAGTACTTTGCATCACACAATTTCTATAGATCATACTCGGAAGTTCTTGTAAAACCATTTGTTTTGCCAATTCTTTGCTCACGGGAGTACTTTGCATCACACAATTTCTATAGATCACACTCCAGAGGTTCTTGTAAAATCTTTTATTTTTTCACTTTCCCTTCCCCTTCTGGTTTGGGATGTGCATGTGTCGAGCAATTTCTTTCAATCGTTGTTGCAAGTGCCTGTAAAACTTATTTTATTTCCTTTCTGCCCTTTTTTGGGTGGGTGCGTATCTATATATATATATATATTTTTTGGGGGGGAGGGGGCATGCATGTGCGTGCCTTTGCCTTTGTTGTGTCTGTCTATCTGTGTGTGCCTGTGTCTGTCTGTCTATCTGTGTGCATTGTGTCTGGGTGTTCTGTTCTAGTTTGTTTTTGACCCTATTTGAATAATTCAACATTGTTTGCTGGAAACTTTCCAAACAAGCTCCTTTGCTGCATCCATAATATCCTGCTAGGAGTTTATGATACAACAGCAGCAGCCAAGACTTCTCCCAATTACTTGGGGTCAGCTACATGAATCCCATATTTATATTCTGCTCTATTTAAGGCCATAGCCTCCTCAGTCAAGAGTTTTATGAGGTCACTTCATTTATTAAATTTTCAATTGCATGTTTGTTCTTCTATGTGCCCTTAGTGACATTATTCTACCAAGCTGTGGAGAATAAATGGAGATAGCTTTGATTTGTATGTCCTGTCCATTTGGTTTGTGGTGCTGAACTTTCCGCTCTCTGGTCAGGTTAATTTCTTCCTTCTATGGCGACTTGTGGGTGTGAGGACCAAGGGCTCGGAGAAGCAGGGAAGGGTCTCAAAGCTGGCGAAGGGGGAGATTTTGATGTTGAATATAGGGTCCATGTCAACAGGGGCTCGAGTTCTTGCCGTGAAGAATGATATGGCCAAGTTGCAACTCACTTCTCCAGTGTGCACCACCAAGGGGGAGAAGATTGCACTGAGCAGACGAATTGAGAAGCATTGGCGTCTTATTGGATGGGGCCAGATTCAGGCTGGAACCACCCTTGATGTCCCTCCGTGCCCCCTTTGACTGAAGAGTAACAAGGAGAGAACACAAGAAGCAAGAAAAACTAGTAAAAGGGAAGAATAGAGATTTAGGGAAGATGTGGGAGGGCAGACAATTGCTGGGAACAATATTTGTCAGGTGGAGAAGGAAACATGGTTGAGTTGTTTTAACTGTTTTAATTTTTTTTTTACCCTTTAATGTTATCTTCTGATGATTCAACACTTCATGGCTTGGACTTAGATTTAATTATTCCTGATGAGCTTGCGGCAGTTTATGTTATATGAAATTTTTTCACCCGCATGAATCGAAAAGAAGTTCAGTTCTTAGTTTGGAAAAGGAATATAAGTCATGATTATAGTTGGATAATCATTTTCATTACGAGAAATAAAAATTTTCAAAATAATATAAATTCACCAAGTTGTTATTGATAGAAGGATGAGTTATCCGTTGTATCACTCTCTCGCCAGATTGTCTTTACGGGCTTCACGTCTCTGCTAGATTGTCTTTGTTGTATCACACCCTCGCCAGATTGTCTTTACGGGTTACACACCTCTGTCAGATTGTCTTATTGTCTTTACGGGCTACACGTCTCTTTACTCATACAATATGATTGTCTTTGTCTTTGTAGACTACACTTCTTCATTTCACATCCACTTGCCTTCTCCATAGGATCTCACGTATCTTAGTGATTACATCCACATGTCGTTAGCCATTCCTACGGATGCATTATCAGTCTCACATTCACTTCATTTACATTTTTGTTCTCTTGCAAGTTGCCTGATCATGGACTACACCGATGCCAGTGGCTACCACCCTTTTGAATTGACTGTTTCATCAAATTCAGCTAATGGAGATTCACCCAAGGCTAGTTTGTTGTAGTTGTAGAGCTAGAGACCTATATATACGTGTCCTTTTCTGAAAAAAAATAAGGGTTATTAATTAAGAATGTTAACAACTTAACACCCTCTAAATTTCTAGATATCTAAAATAAGTCCTATAATATTCGATATCATATAATTTATCAAAACAAAATCCCTATAATCATACATACATACATACATACATATATATATATATAACAAACACTTGAACTTTCTCTTGAGTGTTTTTTTTATATGTCATTGTATATGCAAATGTTTAGAGCAATTACCTCAATTTGAAGAAATGTAGCACCATGGACCATCTATTGAACTCAAGTTGCATGTGAAAAAGAAGAAAGGGAAGTTTTCAAATGGGCCTAAAAGAAGCATGCCAATGAAGCTTAGGGGGGTGCAATAGATTTTGGTTGTAGGGTGAAGCCCACAAAGCTGGCATGCTTAAAATTCATTTATATGAACATAATTCAAACTCCACTCAACTTCTGTGTGTGTGTGTGTGTGTGTGTGTGTGTGTGTATAAATGTGAAAGAGGGAGAGGCTTTTTAGTCAACAAAAACTGCAGTAACATGGAGTCTCCTTGCCTATAAATTGGAAAGCAGAGAACTCACTGCAAGTATCATCAGTTTGCAACTTAGCAATTAACACAGTGTTATTGTTGAAATCATATATCTCCTAGTTAGTTAATTAGCATCGCGACAGAGCTAGCCATGGCCTTAAAATCTGTCCTTTTTGTTTGCCTCTTGGTTGCTACAATAGCAGCCCCAATTGCCAATGCACAACTTGGACTTATCGGCAGTCTCCTTGGTTTGATCCGCGTCCAAGGGACCCTCTTTTGCACTTTGAATGGCGCTATGGGTGTCAATGGCACTGCAACCCCAGTTTTTCCTAGTAAGTAATCCCACAAATTTCCAAATGTATGTTGGCAACACATAATACGTACATATTACTTAGTGTCACGGGCCTTAAGTTTCGCACGCAGGACGGCCCGTGCGGCACCCCTCGCGGGGCTCAGCCTAACACGACCTTCCCATAATCCCATAAAAGATTCATGCGGGTTTCAGCCTGCTTTGGCCTTCATCAGGGAACGGCTTCAGTCTCCGACCAGTTTGTAGAGGCGATAGCATTTGCTATCGAGAGAGACCCTGCCCCTTCCCTGGAACCATTCCAGTCATTCGCTTCCGCCTGCCAACACACATGTATGTCGTCCATGCACCATAGCGTCGTACAGAGATGTTACCCCTGTAACACTTAGCTAGTACTTTGTTAGTTTCAAATTTTCACTTTTTAGGTTCTACTATACACTACATGAATATAAATGCATATATGTGTGTTGCAGATGCATTGGTGCAAATGCAGTGTGGAGCTGGAAATGTGGTTGCTAGTGCAACCACCAATGGGGCTGGACTATTTTCTATCCTCTTGGACCCCCTTCAGTTTGTTCTGTCTTCGCTACTCACCAACTGCAAATTAGTAGTCAACACGCCGCTGTCCACCTGCAACGTGAGCCTGCCATCGGTGGGGGGTCTCCAATCGGCTTTACAGCTCGTTGGGAACACCGTTCAAGGTCTCCTCAGTATCGCCAACGTTATCCCGGCCGGATTCCAATTCCTTCCTAGCCTTCCTTGATGCATTAAAGGCTTGATTTCATATATATATATATATATATATATATATATATATGTAGTTTGATATATTGTCCATGAATAAGGTCAATTGTATTATGGATCAGTACTGTCTTAACTATATATGTATCTTTGCAAGTTTATGTTTGAACTTTGAAGTTCTCTATCCATAAATATTGAAAAGTTGTAATAACAAGCTTGTGTAACGACTCTTGGTCACTAATAAAATGTAATATATAAATCTTTTTTTGCTTGAAAAAAACTCTAATTAATATTTATCAATTGTAATTCAGTATCAAAAGTGGTGCTATTGATGATGGGATTAGTGACTCAAACTTGATCTTGAAATCATATTCAAATTTTGATATGGAGGCATTGATCCATCATTGACTAACAAAGTATTATCAGAGACATTTATAGCTCAGTGGACAGGGGCACAGTAACATTTTGAACTTCTTTTCTATTAAATAATTTTTAAAAAGGGAGGGTATTTTGGAGATGGAAAAACAATTGATTCACGAAATATACCGGCCTTTTTCCTAAATATGATGCAGTATGATCCAACAGTGTGTGACTCGGCCTGAAATCCGGCCCAATGAGCCCGATTGCAGTCCAATAATGGTTGTGTCACTTGTTTGTGTTATAGGCCTAAGTCGATTTCATCAATTCCGCCTTTGATAATGGAATTGAAAAAATTTAGTCATAATTTTATTTTTAATTTTCTTCAATACCAATCCTGAGGAACCGATTTAGTACTCCAAACAAAAAAGTATTAATTGACTCAAAAAGATGAATAGGAAAAGATGAAATCTTATTTAGTCATGTTCAATAGTTATCTTTTGGTCCTTCAGAGATTATCTTTTCGTCATTTTCTATGATTAATTTGTGTATCATTTATTTATTTATTATTATTTTTGAATGATAGCTACCAACTTTAACTTTTAATCAAAAAATATTTTTAAAATTTAATGGAAAAAAAAAACTTTTTGAATTGGAAAATTCTTTTTTGGTAACCCATGATTATGTTGAGCTTTTTAAAATACACCATGAGTTTATTATTGAATATATACAATCTTTTAATAGTGCATGTGTTGTGAATCGATACACTTAATTTAAGAAAAAAAAATACAATATTTTAATAGTGCGTGTGTTGTGAATCCGATACACTTAATCTAAGAAAAAAAAAATACAATCTTTTAATAGTGCGTGTGTTGTGAATCCGATACACTTAATCTAAGAAAAAAAAATACAATCAATGTCCGCGTGCACCAAATAATTAATCTAAAGTATCATTTTTGTCGAACTTTTGGCGCAAACTTTTACTTTGAAAATTGAGAAAGTATCATTTTTGCCAAACTTTTGAAGCTAACTTAACACTTTTTGAAACAGAATATTGAAAGAGAAAAATTAGCATAAGGATGATAAGAGAGTGACGTGGCTCGTGGGTGGGTTACCATTTGTGATGCAATTTTGAATTAATTAATTATTATTATTTTTTTTTGCTAAATATAGCACTGCCATAGAAAAATGATATTTTTGACAATTTTCTTATGCCGATATAAACGAACTTTTACGTGGCAATACACTAATCGTAATACCAAGTCCCATGTGACATATTAAATGCAATACGTTTTTTTTTTAGACAAAATTATCATTTCCGCTTCATTTACTTTTCTGTTTTTCTGTTATATCTTCTTCTTCTTCTTCTTCTTCTTCTTCTTTTTTTTTTTTTTTTTTGAAGTTACTCATATGTATATAATTCTTGCTTAAAATTTCTTCTCTTTATAAAATATCTTTTCCATTAAAAGGCTTTGTAGGGAATAAAATTTTTGTCTTTCTCTATTATCCTCAACTATACTAGCAATTAGAAGCCATAAGCATCAAGTTTAGGGAATTGCTATGTGTTAATATAATTATGAATGATGAGCAAAAAATATAGTTTATTAACACAAGTTATAAGAGTTCTAAAACGTAAATTTTGTGGTTAAATTCTCAATTGTTATTAACATTAATAATTAAAAAAAAAAAAAAAAAAAAAAAAAAAAAAAAAAAAAAAAACAAGTATAGGTGTTAAGAGGCAGGGAAACAAAAAATAAAAAGTGTTAAAGGGTCTTTATTCCACATCAGATTCAAATGAAGAATGTAATAAATAAAAGAAGGTGCAGTCAGCACTCCACTATTTTTACATTTGCACTCCAATTCAAAATAAAATGATTCTTTTAATCTTAACTTTACAAGTGAATAATTATTTATTTTTAAATTACACAAATGCCCTTCTAAATATGATTAGTCTTGCATTCCCTTTAGCATCTTTAATATTTTTGGTCTCTTTGACCGTCCCAGACCCAAAAAATAAAATAAAAAATATTATAAATAAATTACCTGATTTGAAGTATAAAAATAAAAAAAAATCAAAAAAAGTTCTCTCTTGAATAAATTGTCTATTTTGACTGGACTCGAAAACAAAAAAGTACAAAAAAACAAAGAAAAGAATACCCAAAAAAAAAAAACAGGGATTGTGAACTTAGATGTGATGGAAAAGAGCTTTACCAAATTTTATAGTAGGGGCCATGTTATCATCTTGTAATTGGGTAGACAAATATCAAAAGTGAATGCTACATTTTGTTGGTACAAAGTACAACTACAAGGTATGATGGGGTTCGAATAGGAAAGATGTTTTTCTTTTGTTCTGCAATGTCATGGGAATTAATCAAAAAGATATTTGACTATGAAAACAAAATTTTGATCAAAGAAATCAAAAATAAACCTACCATTGACCTGTAGAATTATTAATGTATAAATCACTCAAACCCAAGAATGAGCCCAACACGAAGAGACCAAACTAACCTCATTTAAAAAAAAAAAAATCCGGTGATGTTGTTAGATTTAGGATGGTTTGGTTAGACTTGGGTTAGATTCGAGTTATGACCAAGTTGGATTTGGGTTGTTAATATCTTGATAATCCCATTATCAATAAGTAGTATTTTATAAGTTGGGCTTGGGTTGCCCCTGACAAAGCCCAAAAAGTTTTATATTGAGTTGAAAATTTAATACTGATTAAATCCCAACAATTTGCTGAAAAAGAAAGCACCGAGCATTGATTTTTCAAATCTGATTTTGGCATTTGTTTTCTACTACTATCTCTGTCCCTTATTAATTGTCCATTTTTTATTTTATAACTTTTTAAGGGGACATGCAATTAATGCATTGTCCCCTTTTAAAATTATCAAATTATCATTTTTAATTTAAATATATATAGTTACAAAGTTTGAAATTTTTTAAAAAGATAAAGGACCATGATAAAAATATAAAGAAAAGATGTTTTGACTTTTCAAAGAGGACAACTAATAAGGGACGGAGGGAGTAATTTTTAGGCTTTTGTAACTCAGTTTTTGTTTAGGAAAATTCCAATGGGTCCCTTACTCTAGTTTTTTTAAAGGTAAATATGGGTATATCAGTGAGTTAAATGTGGAGGCATTCAACGCCCTCAAAATAATTGTGTTATCGTCTTTATATATTGTGTTGTACGCTCAAAATAAATTATTGCACACAATACAATACTGTATTGTGCACGTACATTAGAGAACTTTGACTCTTTAGAATTGAGATTCTTTATTGTACCATATTTAACGAATCTCAATTCAGATGTTTGAAGAAAATTCAGACTCTTTAGAGTTGAGATCCTTTGTTGCACTGCATCCAACGAATTTTAATTTACACACGTGTTGTATAAAGAGAACTCCGACTCCTCAAAGCTAAAATTCACTGTGATACAGCATTAGAAGGATCCCAATTCACACACGTTATAAGGGTTTGATATGGGTTGTACAACTCAGCATGCATCTCTACTTCTCAATATTCATATATAGTATACAAAATTTGTACAATTAAGTGAGTAGTTAAAGCAACAGTAAAAGCCCTGATACAAGTCCAAAATCTTTTGATACAACTGAATTTCACTATAATGGAGAGGCTGATTAAATGTCCTTGTTTTTTCACCCTCATAACTACAAGGGGAATGGACCCCAAAGTGTTTGTCCATATCAACGTCCATTGAGTACATGTATCATCTTTATGTGCCAATACCACTGTCCCTCTAAACAGCCTTTTTTTTTTTATGTCTTTTTGCAACTCCGTCCTTCATGCCATCATATGTCCTTGTCATCAATTTTATTACTTGTACTGCCCTCCTTATGCTTCAGTCTCTAATATTTCACTAAAATCATGTCCTTGTGTGGTGTTGTTAGAATCAAATTATAGCATCTGAAGTGAGTCATTTAAAAAGGAAAAAAATATATATATACATCCAAAGTTCAATATTTGATAATAGACTATACCAAGATTCAACAAAGTAAAATGAGAATGAGCCAACTAAACAGAAGCCTACTATACACAGACATTGGCTTGACTTAGCTTGTTGTCTAGGCCCTTGATTTGGCCTTTCAGTGTGTCCTGCTGCACTACCAAACAAGGAACTTGAGATTGATTCCATCTCCTTTTAAAAAATAATGATTAGTTGTGACAACAGGGTCCTTCACATGCAAAGCTAGAGACTTGCAAGTCCATTGTGTTTTTATATTTTCTTGCCAGCCATAAAGTATCATGATGACTAGAAAGACTCCTAGATGGAGACACCATGGGATCCAAGAATCTAATCCACAATGCAAAATCTTGAGCACCAAAGTTACTACAACCTTCATCACAAAAGTTAGATAGATATACATGTATATATATATCATCATCATCATCATCAATAAAGAAGCCCTTGGACAACCTTCACAACTCGTTTAACAGCAAGAAAAACATTTCTTTCCCATAACATCATGTTACAACTTATAAACGAACAATGCAGAGAATACAAATGCAAACAAATTACAGACCAAGAGTGAAGTAGGTAACATGGTCAACTCCTACTTTCCCTCTTTCCTTTTCCCCTCTTCTCAAGCTAGAATAAACAAACATAGCTTTAGGCCAGTCCTGGACCATCTCATAAGATCTGTATGTAGAGTCCAGATCCTAGTTGTACTGCATCGGACAGCTACGACTCACACGTGTGATCATGCTACATGTGTGATCGCTCTGAACATCACACATGTTGATACAGCAGAGGATCCTGACACCTTTCTTCATAATCATCATCATCATGCTTGCCTTGTTCTCATATGAATGGGGTCGGACCAAATGAATTCTCTGTCTCCATTCCTTTCTATCGAGAAATTATTATATGGTCTTAGAACCTTTGGTCCCAAGCCAACAACATTCGACACATCAGCAAATGTGTCAAAATGGTGCCATATTACCTACCATGTTTAACAACTTAAAATCATTTCTAATAACTTCATCATCACCTACGAAGTGCCAATAACTAAATATGAGGAGAATTTAATTGACAGCCAATAACTTAAAATGTACTAACACAGATTAAACAGAGCAAATGTAGATAGATACAGTAATAAACAGGTAGTAAAACAAGAATGATGGAATGGTGTTCCTATTAGAGGCTTTACTGAAAATTGGACTTGCAATTTTGCTCATCCACAAACGCTTGCTCCTCCTGTAAGCAACCTCTGAACAAAGAGTTAAGAGTACATGGAACCTCTAAGCTCTCTTTACCTAGGGGACCAAAGTGGATTCCACATTTCTAGTGGGCTATGTGAATACCTATCTAATAATTAACACCACTAAAAGCTATGTCCAATCCTACCTCTATCCATGGAACTGAATTTCAGTATAATTAGCCTTGTTTATTATCAAGTCTTTTTCACTTTTACATGCCCTTAAAAAGTTTCTCAACCCTACATGGGCCCCAAGTATCCAACCAACTGTGTTTGTCCATATCTATGGATTGGTGATGAGTAATAGTTTCATTTCTTCTTTGGCCAACCAAAAAGGTATCAAGAAGACTATAAAAACTCCTTGATGGAGACACAATGTGATCTAAAGTATCTATCCCACAGTCCACAACCATGAGCACAAAAATTAACACAATCTTCCTTATAAAAAGTTAGATTCTACACACACATACACACACACACACACACACACACCCACACATACACATATATATATAGATGGATTGATATTATCAATCAAGAATTTCTCATTCACAGTAAGAAAAACACCTTTTTCCCCATAACATCATGTTACAAACTTACAAATGATCAAAAAGAATACAGATTCAGATATTGAGCAGCATACATATTTTCTATAAGCAAATTACAAACTTAGATGATGATCAGATAATAAAATTTCTCCTCTAGACTAAACCAACATAGTTTTAGAACAGGCAAAGGCATATCAATAGAACAACTTAACATAGAGTGTAGCAACACAGAGGCAAACATAAAGCTAGAGATAAACAACAGTTAATAAAGCATGAATACAATGTGTAATAGTGGTATAAAGTAGTAGCTATTAACCAAGTAATTAAGCTCTTTAGCCTCTCACAGCCAACAATGAAGGAATTGCAGCCAAGTTGGGAGTGGTGTTCTTATTTGAAGCTTCTCTCTTCCCAGAAGAAGGCTTACTGAAAGCTCGAATCGGACTCGCAAACGCCCATCCCCAACTCTTACTCCTCCCGTGAGCAAGCTGCCCTGTCGCCGTTGCCGTTGCCGCTGCCGCTGCCGGTGCAGGTGCCAGTGCCTGTGCCGCCGACACAGACATTGACTTTCCGTTCATATTATCTTCCGATGACACCCAATAAGACGATGACGATGAGGAAGAGGATGAGGAAGTGATCATGAACCCACTGAATATGCCACCACACTTCACTCTCTCTTTAATGCAATCATGTCCTCCGCCGCCTCCGCCGCGATGCATGGCGGCGACTTTGGATTTGCCTTCCCTCTGCGACTCGACTCGCCGGAGAGTACAGTCCCCAAACCCAGTTGAGATCCGCTCAAAGAAGTCACCCGAGAAGCTCCTGCTTCCACACCCAAGTGATCTAGATCTGGACACCTTCCCATCAAACGTTGCCTGATTTGGACTCTCATTCTCATCCACCACCACCAGCAACTCTTTCTTCTTTTCCCTTGACCTCTGCGAGAAAGACCCGCCGCCGCCACCGACGCCGCCGCCGGTTGTAGCCCCCAGTGACCCTGTAGCACTCGCTGTTGATGCCGATCCATAGCTAATCTTCCGAGTAGTGGAATGTTTGGGCAAATAAAGAAATGACCAGAACCCTCTTCTATGAGGACTATTATCATCACCCTCGTGTGCATCCAAGAAATGCCCACCTCGCCGAGGTGTTGCAGTGGACTTGCTCCTCTTGAAAACGATGGTGTCTGACCCATTATTGAGATCCTTCTTTTTCTTCTTCTTTTGGGTTAACAGAAAAGGCAATCGAGACCGCCTTGAATGAGAATGATATTGATGATAGTGACAATCACTGTGGCTGTGGCTGTTGCTGTTGTTGTTGTTGTTGTTGTTGTTGAGGGTTGAGGATGATGAGTTGGGTCGAACTGGTAATGGGTTGTTGTTGTTGTTGTTGTTGGCTGATCCTCCGAAGTCAGATCTGAAAGAAGGGGAAGAAGATGAAGAAGAAGAAGGGAAGACAGCTATGGGGAAAGAGGAAGAGACCAACTTGCCAAGCTTTTCTTGGAGGCAAAAAGCACAGATCCCACCAGGGGTGTTGTTCTTGTAAGGATGGTCTGTGCATTGCGCGTTGCCATCACCCATGTCTGCTTCTTGAGCCCCTTCCATCACCATTGGCCTCCAAAGTTGCTATGCTGGTTGTTGTTGTTGTTGTTGATTCTTGAGCTTCTTGTGTTGTGTTGTACTTTCTCACCACTGGAATCAATGCTTGTAATCAATGGCTCTAATTCAACAGTACCTAAGAGATGGGTGTTACAGAAGAAGGATGGCAACAAAGTTCCAGAGTGAGAGAGAGAAAATGGTCCTAAATAATATCAATGCAGAGAAAGGTTATAATAAGTTGCACCTCATTGTAGTAGAGTGAGCTCTTCATTTTTCAATATCGATTTTGATTAGGAATTGTCACATCTTCTTTCAGATATTGTTAACTTTACTCATTTTTTCTCTTCTCCTCACATTTTTTTTTTAAAAAATTTATTTACATGTCCCCCTATATACATGTTTGGAACAGTAACATGGGACGAGACAGAAGTACCTTCAAAATTAAATATGACGATGCCTTACACATAAAATTAGAAAAAGAGAATTCATTTAATCGGACTCCATTGGTAAGAGTTTAAAGTAATTAGAAGAAGAGAATTGATATAACATGACTCCATTAATATGAGTTTAAAGCAAAAATAAAATTTAAAAATAATTACATGACACAAATTATTTTATATTTCAACCATATTAAAAATACATTAAAATATAGATAAAATGTGTTGAATGTATTTTAAAATGCTACAGTATCAGGCTGTTAAAGAGTGTAGTGTGAGTATACAATCAAAATTTTGTATTATAATTTATTTATGATAAATCATAAGTCTCAAGCTGGACTGTCACACTTCTAATTAGTATACTTTTATTTTAAAAAAAATTAATATGATTTTTCATTACTAAATTGAATAAATACAAGTAACGTAATAGTATGATTCATGCACAATGTTTTGTTTGTTTGTGGGAGAGAGAGAGCAAATGGTCAAAGGGTAAGTAAATGGAAGGATGAAAAAATATGGCTGAGATGGGGGGACTGTGTGGGGAGCCCCAGGAGCACGTGGAAACCTGACTTGCTTATATAATTAAATGGATGAAAAAGACAACCAAAACCCTATAAATTATATTTTGAGGTCTCTCTCTCTCTCTCTCTCTCACAAGTCACAGCACAGCCTTAATACAAAAGAATCTCTGACCTGCTACTGTTGTCTCAAAAGGGTTACACCTTCTCTGCTTTGTCTTTCTCTATCTCTATCTCTATCTCCATGTATTGTTTTTTTTAGTATTGTTATATGAAGCGTTTTTCAGCACAGAATATTACCCACCTGATCATCACCAATTCCCATGGTTAATTATGTCGATGTACATAAAAGAAAATTCCTTTCATATAAATATTACACATAAATTAAATTATGTCATGTTTGATGATACCGAATTAGTGTCTTAAAAATTTTGAATTAAATTTACTTTCATTTTAAATCCAAAACACCCCTTCAGTACTTCCAAACATAACATTAATTACATCATTAGAATATAATTTAGTATTATGACTTACATGCACTCAGAAATACTTTAATTCTGTGATTGTGGTCCTACATATGAAGTGTTATTAATAAAATTAAATATTTACAAGTTATTTAAAAATATATATATTCTGCTTACTTGTTGATATTCAAAACTAAAAATTAAATATTTGTATTCAAGTATATTTGATATATATTTTTTCAATAAAACTATGTCCGGAAGCACATATTTTAATTCTATTGTGCCAATTCAGTGTTAGCAAACGTAACATAAATAATATAACTCATGTGTTTAAGCATTCTATTTTCCGTCTCTTCTTTAATTTTTCTTTTTTAACAAAAAAAAAAATATTTCATATCATTTGAATTAGAATGATTAATCACAGTTTTTCTATTAGACGTATAAAAATAGAGAGTTCTTTCAAATAATATGAAAATCCTTTATAATATAAAAGCTAAATTACGCTTATTTCACTTGAGATTTAGGTAAATTATATATGGATAGATTGATGAGTGTTTATTATTTTAACCTTTAATTATCGTGTGTACTCAACCGCACTCTTAATATATATATATATATATATATATATATATATATATATATATATATATTTTCTGACTGACTTATTGACCAAATTTCTAAATAAATAAAAAAAAAAACAATTTGTCATTTCCTTATATAAATCGCACTATAAATATATTATTATAATCTAAAAGTCTCATTGACTTTACACACTCAATATCACTTTACGACATCTGAGGAACGGGTTTAAAAAAAATTAAAATAATAAAAAAGTCTTTTTATGAATAATTTGTCCAAATCTCAACTAGTTCAATGTAATTTACCCCGTCATAAAATGTATGCTAAAATTTGGACTTAAAACTAACTAATCCTGATTATAAGGAGGACAAACAAGTTAAAACTAGTGCATTAAAACCAACATGTATCGCATCTTGTGTCCTTTTGATTGCTTATGTGATTATATTACTTTGATTGTAGTTATTTTATGATAATAAACTTCATCAAGAAATTATTTTAATTCGTAAAACCCTCGTCATTTATACTATGTTTTCTTGGAGGGAAAGATACTGGAGTAATGGATGAGAGAAGAGATGGATGAATCAATTCGTGTTTGTTTCGAAAAAAGGGAAGAAAGAGAGAAAAAGCAAGGAGGGATGCGCATCCCTCATTTTTTTATTTTTTTTTTATCGATTCAATTTTGGAAAGAAGGAAAGAGAGAGGAAGTGAATAACTACTTACAAGTATATAATTTACAATTTTAACCTTTTACAACAAATATTAAATAAATATTTACTTTTTATTATTTTTTAAAGTAAAGATATATTGGTAAAAATATATAAAAACTCAAATATATCACCACATTCATCATTTTTACCATCCATTTCATTCAACCAATCAAAAAATAAGAAAAAACATTTTCCCTTTTTTCAGGGATTCTTCATTCATCTGTTTTATCCAATTTTTCCATTTCTCCGACCAAATGCTTCGGCATGAGAGAAAATGTTAAAAGTACTCGACCAACGTACATATTATAATATGCATACATAAATATATATTGTTGCATGTCTCTCTTTTTTTTTTTTTTTTTTTTTTTTAACAAATAAAAAATATAGATTAAACACTACCAGAGAAATCAACATCCATGAGAAGACATGAATGAGAAGGCGGAGCCAAGATGGCCACACTTCCCATTCAATATTCAACATCAGAAAGATGACAATGAAGAGCCCATTGACAAATCTGATGGACAACACGATAACAACCTCTGGGTACCCATAGAAGAAAAAAGACTCCTACACCGTCATCCGCTGTCCCCAAATCCAGGTCCCTGAATAAACCACAAAGATGCGTTGTTCCTGTAAATTGCTTAGAAATCTCAAAATTTAATTCCTCTCCGGTAGAAAAAGCCTGAAACCTTTGATCTTACTAAAATGGGTCCCAACCTACCCATCTATAGTAGCTTAGTCATTATCATCCGTGGATCTCAACTATAAATACCTTGAGATTTTCAATCTCTTTGTTTTTCTCGTTATTGGGTGGACCTTTCCAACCTAAGTTAGTGAGTGTACTCTTCCAACGTACCCATCTTTAATCTAACCTGCGCCGGATGCGAAAATAAAGCTTCCAAAATCCAACGTGTACATTGTGGGACACACTTCTCATCACTCTACGCTTGATTGCAACACTTTTGGGTCCCTTAAATCTTTCTTTGTTCGCGCTTGATCATATCAGTGGCTCAGGTCACTCACTTACAAGAAAGATCAGGTATTTCTGTTTACACACAAGTTTTGCCCTCGCTGACCAGTTTACGTGATTTTTTTATTACACTAACAAAGTGCAATTTACCAATAGAGACGCGTAAGCCGTAATCTGGTGTTATTTCTTCAACCTTCTCAAATGCAAGAAAGTGAACAATGCATCGAACACATCATAATCATTTCGTAATATTTATATTGTGTATATACGATTCATACACAATACATGTGAATGCAAACAGTTGTGATAATAGGATGCACCATATATCAAATATATTGAACATCTTCTTCTCGTGCAATGAAATTGAATGGAATAGCTAAATTTTTAATTATCATTCAAGTAAATGATTGAATAACACTAATATATTTATTTTTTATTGGAAAAAAATAATGTTTATACTCTATTTTTGTCAGGCAGTTTAATTTTTTTAGAAGTTAAAAATAAAATAACATAAGCACTCGGGTAAAATAGTATAATTAAACTTTATGAATATTTTATAAATATTTATACAAACTAGCTTTTATATGGGTAATGGGTGATTTTGCCATTTTATTTATTTAAAAATTGTAGTGGAATGAATGGAGTGGGATAAAGGTACTGTCAAATCGTCTCTTCCATATAAACACATAAATGTAAAAGACATTTATAAGAGACATTAATAAGAGAAATGACATTAGCACTTTTTAAATAATAAAAAAAGCATCTAATAGTACCGCTGCTTTGATATATATATATATATATATATATTTTCCAAGGCAACCAGAACAAAGAAACAGAAAAATGAACACAAATCCCCCATCAACGCTTCTCCAACAAAAGCAGGAACTAAGGGTCACATAGGCTCAAAAAAATTGAAAAGAAAAGACCATCTACATATTTTATGAGCCACCTTATTACAGTGTCGTGGAATCAAATTCAATGAAAAATCTTCTCCATGTTAAAGAAGAACCTTGATATCGCGAACAATCGTGGCCAAAGCTTCTTCTGATGAGCACAACTTTATAATTGTTTGACAATCTCCTTCAAAAATAATTTTAGGCTTGCCCCATTATAAACAAACTTGTATTGTCGCTCGGAGTGAAAGACCTTTAGCTACCACCGGTGAAGAAACATCTTGAAATATCCAAGAGCCCAAACTAAGAACACACCCGTCATGATTTCTAGCAACATAGCCACCCCCACATGATTTTGAAGAACTGAAAGTTGCATCAATATTAACTTTGACAAAATCATTAGGAGGAAAACTCCACTGAGGACTTTGAAGCGGAGCATGATGAGGAGCAATGGATAACAATTTATTTTGTCTCTGGACTTCAGAAAATTCATGATAGTCAAAAACGACCTTTTCAACCAGAGTTTGAGGATCCACCATTTTGGACGACAAAATGAAGTTGTCTCTGTTTTTAGCTCTAATATTACCGTCCACCGGGAATTTTTTTTTTTTAAACTATTTTGTCCTATTATTT